CTGTCGTCATAAAAGAGAGAGTACTAGCATAGCAGACCTTCTGTGTACTTAAACCAGATTCTCCTTCTACCGGCCAAACTTTGTTCTGATGACAACGGTATTTCGTGACATTGACACCCGGTTACAGAAATGTTTGTTAGAGTATTCTATGCATATATTCATACACTTTGAAAGCTTAGATATTAAACTTTAGATCTGGGTTTGGGATTGCCTTTGGTGCAACCGGAGACTAATAAATTTATTATATGGTCTCTGGTGCAACTGAACACAGGTATTTCCGAACGCACCATTGCCAGAAATGATGTCTGATGCAAGTCCTTAGTTTCCATTGTACTGATTACCCATTTGTCAGACACATAATTGACTTGACTGGATGGATGTCACCGAGGTGGCAGGATACGCTCACATGTGTGCGAACACCCGGTGTCGTGTCTATTTGATGGTGATACAGAATCGTAATATAGTCGGATTCGTTCAGTCTAATGTTTAAGAGAGCTTTCTTGTGACTACGGAAAGGGTTTTGTCGCTCCTATTCAAAGTTCTTATTAACGAATCGAAATTGTTGACATATGTATACCAAATGAACCAGTTATTCATATCCGTTTCTCCCTTAAAATCTGAGGAATGAGAAATGTATGAGTGTTATGTATTTGCGTTCTACTTTTCAAGAGATAAGATAATAATAATCTGTTTCATCCCGGACGTGGAGTTGACTTTAGGTGAGACAGCTATAAATGCACTAACCTGTTCACCTTATCTCCAGCCGGACTTGGAAAAGTTCTACCTGTAGATCTGAGTGTTAAATGCCAATCCTTCAAATCTTGAATTAACAATGACATATATTTAACCAGCTTTGAATATATAATTTAACCAGCTTTGCACAAATAGGTTTGGAATGAACTGGGAAACGTTTGCCAAGTATTGCTGTAACTACTACCTGACGGGAGCTTTGGTTGTATACTGCCTCGGGAGTTGAGAATATTAGTCGTTTAATTAATTAACATTTTATATCAGCGCATGATCATGTATTGTTTTGTGTAATGAGTGATTGAGTGAGTTTAGTTTTACGCCGCACTCAACAATATTCCAGCTATATGGCGGCGGTCTGTAAATCATCGAGTCTGAACCAGACAACAGCATGAGCATCGATCTACGCAATTGGGATACGGTGACATGTGTCAACCACGTCAACGAACCTGAGCAGCCACTTACGACAAGCATGGGTTACTGAAGATCAATTCTAACCCAGATCTTCACGGAGTTTGGTGTTATGTATAGAAGATTTTCTTATGTGTCTCATACGCTTTATGGCTGGATGTAACTTTTAAAGTACCGTTTCTGTAATTATCACAGTGTTACAGTTATAAAGTGAGTGTCGGTATGGCTTCCTTCCCCACGAGTATTCCCAGAAATTATTGAGAAAGTTGCCTGCAACACGACTGAATGCGCCTAGGTACACTACCCATCAAAGTTTGTAGGAAATCGTGTGACAGGAGTATCCCACTTTCAAGAGATAAGATAATAATAATCTGTTTCATCCCGGACGTGGAGTTGACTTTAGGTGAGACAGCTATAAATGCATTAACCTGTTCACCTTATCTCCAGCCGGACTTGGAAAGGTTCTACCTGTAGATCTGAGTGTTAAATGCCAGTCCTTCAAATCTTGAATTAACAATGACATATATTTAACCAGTTTGAATATATAATTTAACCAGCTTTGCACAAATAGGTTTGAAACGAACTGGGAAACGTTTGCCAAGTATTGCTGTAACTACTACCTGACGGGAGCTTTGGTTGTATACTGCCTCGGGAGTTGAGAATATAAGTCGTTTAATTCATTAACATTATATCAGCGCATGATCATGTATTGTTTTGTGTTATGAGTGAGTGAGTCAGTTTAGTTTTACGCCGCACTCAACAATATTCAAGCTATATGGCGGCGGTCTGTAAATCATCGAGTCTGAACCAGACAACAGCATGAGCATCGATCTACGCAATTGGGATACGGTGACATGTGTCAACCAGGTCAGCGAACCTGAGCAGCCACTTATGACAAGCATGGGTTACTGAAGATCAATTCTAACCCGGATCTTCACAGAGTTTTGTGTTATGTATGTATAAATGATTTTCTTATGTGTCTCATACGCCTTATGGCTGGATGTAACTTTTAAAATGTCCCGTTTCTGTAATTATCACAGTTTAACAGTTATAAAGTGCGTGTCGGTCAGCTTCCCCTCCCCACAGTATTCCCAGAAATTATTGAGAAAGTTGTTTCGGCAGATACCTAATACATATATATACTCATGCCAATAATGGTTGTCACCCCCTTCAATTTTTGATAGGAGAGGGGGTGTGGGGTGAAGGGTGAGGTGTGTGGGGATTGGGGTGGGCAGGGGTGACAACCATTATTGGCATGAGAATATAAAAAGAAACTTCACAAAATGTAATTTGAAAAATAATGAATAATTTTTCTCTGATGATACATCTATGTATCCGAAATGGGATCCCTATCTTTCGACTCGAGAAAAACGTTAACAAAACCCACTCAAACCCATCCATTCGTCGTGCAAATGACGTTAGTGCCAAATCAGGTTTTGCACGTGCAGTCGATCACGTGATCTTCGCATCGAATTTTTCTTCATATGCACGTGTTTGCATTGGCCTCAAGAATTGAAAAAACACTTTTAAACCACAGTTCTAACGGTACTTGAAATGCCACGATTGTCAAATGTGCAACGTGAACGTGCCGTTGGCATGCTGCAAGCTGGAAGATCAGTTATTGACGTCGCAAGAGCAATGGGATGCAGCCGTCGTACTCTGTATGACTTGCGAGGTCGTCTACAACAAACTGGCACCACTTCTGATCGCCCAAGGTCGGGTCGTCCACGTGTGACGTCACGAGCAGAAGACCGTCAAATCGTCCTACGTCACCTACGTGGCAGATTTCTGGCGGCTACACGAACCAGGGCTGAGATGTTTAGAGGTCGACTTTCCTCACAGACCATTCGAAGTCGGTTGCGGGCTGCCAATCTCCATTCTCGACGTCCATATCGTGGGCCAATATTGACGCCGTTTCATCAACGTCAACGTCTGCTGTGGGCCCAACGTCACCTCCGATGGACCCAGAGAGACTGGAATCGAGTCGTCGTTAGCGATGAATCCAGGTTTACCCTCAGATTCGCGGACGGCAGGCATAGAGTCTGGATACGACGTCGTGAACGGTATGCCCAATGTTGTGTACAGGAAGTCGACAGATTCGGGGGCGGAAGTTGCATGGTGTGGGGTGCTTTCTGTGGGAACAACCGTTCCCGACTTCTGGTCTTCCGTGGAAACCTCACAGCTGCTGCCTACCGCGACCAGGTGCTCACCCCTGAACTCGTTCCTTTCATGGCGGCTCATGGCCCAGGTCTACAGTTCCAGCATGATAATGCTCGGCCGCATACCGCGATGTTGACACGAAATTTCCTTCTAAACGCTGGAATCAACGTCATGGACTGGCCATCGAGGTCCCCTGACCTTAATCCAATAGAGCAAGTTTGGGATGCATTTGGGAGAAGGCTTCGTGGTCTTAGGAACCAACCTCAGAATTTGCAGGACAGATCTCAGCAATGAAATAATAACAATTTAACCATCTTACCATCTCTTGTTCTTTTATTGTGCCCTGAAGAAAGAATGTGAAGTTTCTTTTTTGACTCAGTATATAATCTGTAGTGGTTTTACTTAAATGAATATGTTGAGATATGATTGTCTTACAGTCTAAGTGTCTTTCAGTACGTTGTGAGACCTCCTTGCCCTGCAATACAATGCGTCTAGGTACACTACCGATCAAAGTTTGTAGGAAATCGTGTGACAGGGTATTCCAATATTCGACCACCTATTTCTAGATATCCTCAATATATGATATTAAGTCTTTTTGGGTTTATTCTTTCCATCATTAGCCCCAACACATTCTCAATTGGGTAAAGATCTGGGCTGTAGCTGGGCCTGTCTAAAACTTCGTCCGACAACCACTGTTTTGTTTAGCCCGCAGTGTGTTTTAGGGTCGTTATCATGCTGGAAAATCCAATTATCTTCATACAGTGTTCGGGCAGTTTGAAGGAGGTAACCATTTAAGATGTCAACATATCGTTCCTTCGTCAAATTTCCAGTATCAATACACAACAGCGTCAGTCCACGTGATGATATCCCACCCAACATGTAAATTTCGGGCTATGTTTTGGGCGTTGGTAGAACTTTCATCAGAAAAGGAAACATTATTCCAATCTTGATTTTCGCGAACCCTTCACCAAGTTAAACGTCTTTCTTTTTGTGCATCTTTCATCAATGGCGAAGGAATTCCACGCTTTTTCACCCAGTTAAGTCTTTGTAATTCTTGTCTAAGGGTTTCATTACATACCTGAGAACTTCCTCTATTAATCATCTCATTTCTGATATTCTCAACGCTTTTCAATTGTCCCCTACTCACAATCTGACCAAGTCGCCGGCGATCCGTAGTACTGAACTTCCTTGGCCTCCCTGCCCCTGTCTTGTGCTCAGTCCCAACTCCTGACTGAATATTCTTCAAAGTTCTGTATACTGTAGACAGAGGAATGTCATGTCTACCAGCTAAGTCTTTGGCATTAGACACATCCCTTTCAAAATCATCTAGAACCAGCTTTCTTTTCTCTTCTGCTGCCAAATCTGCCATGTCAACAAAGGAAGCCGTCTGCTACATCAGGGAAGATAACTCTTGTATGTATGTGTATGTGTGCGTGCGTGCGTGCGCGTGCACTCACATACGACCCCCATATAGCTGGAGTGCGGCGTTATATTATATAGTATGTTATATATATATATATGCGGCGTTAAACAGCAACCAAACGTTGGTTATATATACAAAACGCAAGTTGTCACGATGTTGAATACTTTGTACAAATCATCATGTAGAGAACGTATAAGACAACTTTAATGCTAATTCGACTCTTACGTGGTATATTGTCCATTGACAACAAGCTGCATCGTTCAATGCATCAGTTTATTACTGGTATGACATACACGCTATTTCCCTATCAATGTTTGGCCATCTTGGGTTCTCTCTCCGTGTATAGTGTTGAAGTAGTTACACCTGAGGATAGGGCAGCAGGCACCTGGGACCAGCACAACCTCGCAGTTCGACTCCCACTTCGGGCACCTGCAAATACAACAACATGTTGTAGGCTCGTAAACAAGACATAGGACTGTGAGTTAGCCCGGGTCCTTTGTATAATGTTACCCCAGTAAGATGCCTCCCCTCCCTGACTTAGTTTTACGTGTCTCTCTCACTTGGATACATATCCCTGTGTGAGTCGGTCAGTTCTTGTTTTATCTCTCAGAGCCAGGCAGGGAAATAACAACTAGCCACACTGTGTCTGTGCCTTATCTACGGGGAGCATTAACGTTCAAACATACCACGCTTTGCCACATTTATCAAGAGAAATAGGACAACGACGTTGGGAACACGCTTTGGAACAATGTATTGAGGATTTTAGGTTTATTCTGGAAGAGGAAACGGAACGAATGTCAGGTCACCCAGTGGCGGATGGGTACCCGGTAGTATGGGATTGTAACAGATCCGCCAAGAGACATCCCTTTCTCGCTTTCAGTGTCGCTTTCTCCTCTCGAGTTATCGCTTTCTCTCGCGGCCATAACTGAGGGAGAAAAGTGATGTCCCCTCTCGGCCACCATAGTTCAAGCGACTTCATTTTAAACTTGATTAGGAACTTCGTAGAACATCACACAGGCGGCCGACTTGGCGTCTCCTGGACACTTGATAACTGTGGGACGGACGAGTCATGGAACTAAAGCTCACCCAGCGTTAAGACACCAGCGTAAAAACCTCCTTCTCACCTGAGGGGTCCACATTGTATGTCGTTGGTTTTCGGGTCGACACAGGAGCAGCTCTTGTAGCAGTCTACGGTGTACCAACTATCACCCTGACTGTAGAACTTCCCGTCCTGGGAGCATCCTGATACATAATAGAAGTACCGTTACGACCTTTACACGGGTGATTACCCACACTCCCGTACACACAGACTAAATCTAAACATGTTGCCTGATACCTCCATTGCGTAGGTGGGTTCTTCACAACAATGTTTATTCAAATCATTGGACAAGAGCAGTGCAGTCTCCACTTTTCTGGCTTTTTGTGTACAATGCTTGTATGGAACCTTGTCCCTTAAAAACAGAAACCGTCTTACCAGAATAGTTTTATTAGCCAGTAAAATTGCAGGTGTATCTTTTGCTAACCTAAATGAAATATATGAAGAAAGAGTTCTCAAGTCAGCCCGTAAGATTATATCTGATCCAGATCATCCCATCTACTATGAATATATATTACTGCCTTCTGGGCGCCGTTATAATTTACCCCATTTTAAATCCAATCGTGCCATGAAATCCTTTGTTCCTGCCAGTATTTATCTTTTAAATGATTCCTAGTGTTTGTCTTACCTTGTTAGCATGTTTTATGTGTGTTATTTATTGTATGAAAATAGTTTAATCATTTTATCAATGTTTGAGCTCTGTACTTTACACAAGAATTCCCTCACGGGTAATAAAGTATTGTCATTGTCATTGTCATTATAAATACCCTTATAGCCTGCCATTTCTGGCGTCCCCCGCTGTGATATCGCTGGAATATTGCTGAAAGCGGTGTAAAGCCATACTCACTCACTCACTCACTCCTTATAGCTGGATCAAAGTGGGGAGAGTCATGTTAAAAGACCTGGATTGGATTCCCGAAGTGGGAAAACAATGAAACACGATTCATGTTAAAAGACCTGGAATGGATTCCCGAAGTGGGAAAACAATGAAACACGATTCATGTTAAAAGACCTGGATTGGATTCCCGAAGTGGGAAAACAAAGAAACACGATTCATGTTAAAAGACCTGGATTGGATTCCCGAAGTGGGAAAACAATGAAACACGATTCTTCTTGCATTAGCTCCTTGTGAATAATTGGTCTATGCAACGGAAACAGTGTGGGCTGATCTTTCTCTTCGAGACACAGGGCAAAATAACGTGGTTTTGTATACGTACTCGTTCCGGGCGCTGGGGTCGTCGTTGGTGTCGACTGTGGCGACGTCGGAGGCTCTGTTTGACCGGAAACTGACATACAAAGACAGGTGAAGGTAAATCAGTGACCCCCATATGAGTATGTTATGCGTTTTATACTGTACCGAATGCTAGAAATGACTTTGTCTCTTTGTTGTATTGTGGTATTGTCGCCCTTACCAAAACAAGCACATTGTATCAAAATCGACCGAAGCACAGCAATGCTACAACGCGACAGTTTTGCCATTCGTCGCATTTTCGCGATTCCAATAATATTTTAAAGTTTACAGAAGGGTGACAATGCGACAGTCTGACAAAGCGACAATGTCCCATCTGGGATTCCATAATACAAGGTGCACCATACAGAATTGTTTCTGTATGGGCTATACAGAGTTTGATACTCTAGCATACAGGTAGATGATTGTTTGTTCTCAAGAAAGAAAGTTTGGTGGGCTGATAGTTGATCTGCACTGATTTTATTTGGGACTACTTTAACCGTGAACGTAAATTATTTAAAACGTATTATTCCGCATCTGTAATTGGGAAATATAGTGGAGGTTAGGTATGTTCTTTCCTCGTGTGTCTTGTATCCATAGGCCAAGTGTCTGATTGTCATGGTGTCGATTTGCTCGAGATTACTTATAACTGCGCATAAGCCATGCATATTATACTTATATCAACTTAGATTACAACACCGACAAAAGAAATGCCACATTGTGAGATCGTGTTTAAAAATTAAACATTTAAGAAATGAAGTTCTTGAGAGGCATATATAAGTTGGTATTCAAGTATAAGACAAAATATTATGGATGTCAACTTCTTCTTTATTGTATACAGAACGTTTCTGGGCGATTCCTTGCCCCTTCGTCAGGTGAATGTCATGCACGAAGGGGCAAACGTCCATAATATTTTGTTTTATAATTTAAGAAATGTTTATTTCTCGTGTTTAGGAATTTCTGTTTGTTTCGAAGATTGATTTCAGCCTAGTAACGTTTTTTTCAACGGTTGTAATTCTTAATCAAATCTAATTTTCAAGTGAATACTTTCTTTTGGTCTGCACTTACCTGAGCCTGTGGTTGTGTTTCCCCTGGCGCATTCAGGTAGGTACACCGGGCCTGCAAGCAGTGATCTGGGGCTTAAGTTGTTTGCTGATATTTTATATATTCAACCTTTAAGTAGACTTCAATCAATTAACTATAATGGCATTGATATCAGTATTTGAATGGGCAACCCAGTGGATCAGCCCAGTGGTGGAAGGGTGGTGTGCTGTAGCCCTGATATGCCAAGGTTAAATCCTCACCGTTTTGTTCACCGCAATCAAACAAAAAGTTTGAAAGATTTTGAAAAACGATGATTATGGCCCCTTGTTCGTTATTCTATACAGTTTGAGATGACCATTATTCAACAGGTACAGTGGTGTAGCCTAGGTATTAAAGCCTTCGTTCAACACGCTGAAGACCGGGTTCGATTCCCCACATGGGATATGGTCGGTGTCCACCGCCGTGATATTGCTGTAATGTTGCTAAACGCGGCGTAAAACTTTACTCACTCACTCAATCTGTAGTAGTTGTATTAAGTTGGCGTTCCAGATTACTCACGCTCGCAAATCTTGCAATATCCCGCGCAGTGTTGATGGGCGAAGCCGTCGTACTCGGGGTTGGTGCACATGTCGGAGTTGTAGCTGTTGCATAAGGGGTCAGTGTCCGTGCAGAGAGGGGCGGGGGTCACCTTAGGGGCTGATATCATAAAACATATGATTGATCTGGGCATGGAAAACGGAAACATTATTGTGAATATTATAGTTGACTTCTTGTTAAAGAAACTAGCGAAGTTCTTCAGAAGTGTTTTCTATATCAGCAAAATATGATAGATGGCCTAGCGCAGAAAATAGTAATGTAGATCACATCCCAGTGTGACAGACCTAACCATGACACACATTATATGAAATAGTACATATAAAAATTACCTGTACTGAAACATGTATCTACATGTTACAGCTACATTGAACTTATAGCAATATGTATTGTTAAATTAGCTATATTTCTGTTTTTCCACGTTACTTACATGTGTATCAGATATGGCTGTCGTGAGAACTACACAAGGATCTGTAACACTATGTATTACATCAATGTTACCATTACTACACTATTTGGAACTACTGTAAGTTAGGTTCAATCTGGAACGTAGGCCCTATATCTGTCGTGCGAACTGTTGCATGTTGTTTAACATCACCCTCAGCAATTTTCCAGCTATGTAAATAATCGAGTCTGGAACAGACAAGCCATTGATTGACCCCATGAGCATGTATCAGCCTAGTCAGCGAGCCTGACCACCCGTCACTCGTCATATACGGATAAGCATGGGTTGCTGAAGACCAAATCCTACCCTGATCTTCACGTGTATTGTCGTACGAAGTAGTCTGTCTGTCTACATAGCAATCTTAGAGCATGTATCAATGTCAGACACAGTTGTATGGTGTTCTAGTATTTAAACCCGTGAAGATCCGGGTTAGAATTGATCTTCAGCAACCCATGCTTGTCGTAAGAGGCGACTAACGGGATCGGGTGGTCAGGCTCGCTGACTTGGTTGAATCCCAATTGCGTAGATCGATGCTCATGCTGTTGATCACTGGATTGTCTGGTCCAGAGTCGATGATTTACAGACCGCCTCCATATATCTGAAATATTGCTGAGTGCGGCGTAAAACTAAACTCATTCGCTCTGGTGTTTAATTTTGTGAAATTATTGTAACTTATGAATAGCGATACATTACCACAGAATCGGCAGTGTCTGGCACAGTTGTATCTGGAAAAAGCCTCGTAGGAGCCACAACAAGATGTCTTGATGTCGTAGCCTGAACAGTCCCTCCGGTCAAAACAATCAAGATCTGACGGTGGAAGAGAACGCACTTGTTACATAGCAACAGCTAACTATCACACACCTTTCCAGAATTTGTTGATCGTGGGTTCGAATATCAAATTAAACAGGGTTATGATCCTTGAAATGTCATAATATTTTCTGTGCCTTTGGGTTTCATCAGTAATGGATAAGTAAACGTCTCTGACCCATGTTTGTCGATCTACGACTTACTCACTCACTCACTCACTCACTCACAAAGAGATTAAACCTGTACATGGTCCAAGACTGATACCTTGAACTGTAGTGGAAGCTGGCGCAGTTGTCACGGCAACCGTCACACCTGAAACAGGCATTACCACACACCTACATATTCTATAAAGCATTATGAGAGTGACGACTTTATCGGTGATCTTTACATAACTTAGTCTTTAGCTAAGTTAGAAAGGATATTCAGTATAATGTTATTTAGCTATTTATGTCTTAATTACATTAGATTCCCGAGTTTGTTTTTTCATGACTAATCAGAGAATTTAATAGTTTTTAGTTCTAAGACTTTTCATAAGTCAACATCTTCCTAGCTCGAGCGTCGAAAGCCTGTATTCAATGAGATCTTGCTTTTGAACAATGCAGTACTATTAAGGGGGGAGATGCTGAATGTTATAAATGACAAACAATCAGGTGCTATTGCAATCTGGTGCTATTGCAATGGCACAATAAGTGTACACTTCACTACACTTCAATAAATGTATTAGTATTAAACTGCGAGGCCCTTTGTACGCTTACATATTTTAGTACATTAAGTATTAGGCAATGGAGTCTTTTAGCTCCGACGATGAACTAAATCAACCAACCATCTGTCTCGCCCGTGGTCTTACAGATGCCACAGTATTTGGAGCAGTAGAGTTGCGACCAGTTGGGGTACTTTGTACAGGTGCCCTTGCCAAACTCGTCACACCGCTCAAAGTCGTCGAAACATCCTGTGAGGGCATATATTTACATGCATTTGAATGGATCACTGAAAACCACTGATGACTCCAGGGGTCCGTTTCACAAAGCGATCGTAGCGCTACGACTGTCGTAAGTCTATGTTAAAGTATGGGAGTTACGATCACCTTAGCGCTACGATCGCTTTGTGGAACGGCACCCAGGTGTTCGTTAAGGCTAAGCAGGGCCCTTATTCTCGAAACGTTCGTAGCCTTAAGAATTCTTAACTTTGATCGTAGCCAATGTGTTAAGAATGGGCTTAAGAAGTTCGTAAGGCTACGAACGGTTCGAGAATAGCTAGCCTGGTCCTTCCCTACCGCTAGCACCCACTATCTAGAAAATTTGCCTAGTAGTTTTCGCCTGACGCTGCCCAGCAGCACTCCTGCCATGCGACAGCGGCCAGACAATCAAGTGATCGTACAAAAACAAGCAGATAAAGCAGATGAGAGCAACATCATAACTATATGGGATACATTTACAGTTAACTGATATTACGACCACTGTGGTCTGTATAATCATATATTCGTTATATCGAATGTTCTCCATGAACAATGACGTTAGTTTCCAGGTAACAGGTGGTTCTGAAGAGGCGATAATTCGCCACATCCATCCTCGCTGACGTAGTTCAGACGTTACTGTGGGTGTCGACGTCCATCAGAAAGACATCGGTTGTGCTCACCTGTTTTAGGAATCGGCGTGGTGGTGACATCTCCTGCAACATGGGATACGTCGGTGAGTTTAGTTTTCTGCCGCTTTTAGCAATATTGAAATGAATATTATTAGACTAAGAAACTTAAATTATTCATATATAATATTTATGATGAGTCCCATATTGGATATATGTTATATGTTATTTGACAAATATACATTGTAAAGGTTGTATTTATTATATAGTTTCTAACTGATCTTAAGAAAAGACTATACATGATGATGAAGGCATTGAGGATCGTGTGTAAAAAAACATGTTTTACACTATGAACTTGAAACATGGTTACCCGTGAAGGTCCGGGTTAGAATGAACCTTCAGTAACCCATGCGTGTCGTAAGAGGCGACTAACGGGATCGGGTGGTCAGGCTCGCTGGCTTGGTTGACACATGTCATCGGTTCCCAATTGCGCAGGTCGATGCTCATGCTGTTGATCACTGGATTATCTGGTCCAGACTCGATTATTTACAGACCGCCGCCATATAGCTGGAATATTGGTGAGTGCGGCGTAAACCTAAACTCACTCACTCACTGAAACATGGTTGCAATGTAATGTGCCATGAACATATTCCATTTAGAGTTTCATACTTAAAGCCTAGCCTGTAACCTGTTTCGAATTCCGTTAACCTTTCATTTTCGTTAGCGACAATATTTCTTAAGTATTCTTTCCATCAAGCAAAATGACGTATATTTTACTTTCCCGTTATGTATAATGATCTGAATGTCTATTCAAAGAAGCCTTGAAGTCAGCGCTATTTGAGCGTTACCTGGACACAGGTGGCAGTACTCAGGGTGCTATTTGAGCGTTACCAGGACACAGGTGGCAGTACTCAGGGTGCTATTTGAGCGTTACCTGGACACAGGTGGCAGTACTCAGGGTGCTATTTGAGCGTTACCTGGATACAGGTGGCAGTACTCAGGGTGCTATTTTAGCGTTACCTGGACACAGGTGGCAGTACTCAGGGTGCTATTTGAGCGTTACCTGGACACAGGTGGCAGTACTCAGGGTGCTATTTGAGCGTTACCTGGACACAGGTGGCAGTACTTGACGCAGTTCTTCTCCACGAAGCCCACGTAGTCGGGGTTGGAGCAGAGGTCGGCGCCATACTCCTTGCAGCGCACCTTGTCGGCACACACAAACGGGGAGGTGATGGCTGAGGATGTAATGAAGATGGCACATTGGTAAAGTCATCAATAAATGCTGCTTGATGTTTTCACAATGTGCTTACAATTTTTGAAGGTCGAAATATGGTTTCAGTTTTGTGCTTATGTTAAAAATGCATCTCAGCTGAAAGTACATTTTTATACTCATATACTGTGTATTACAACAGGTATAGATAGTAACGTGTTATATGCACGTGAAAAGACGCATCACACCAGTCGTATAAATCTGTACTAAAGTTTTCAGTTAGGTTAGGCACTACAAACGAATGGAATAGTTCACTATTAACACAATAGGCTCTATAAGCTGACAGAAACAGAGCAGTCACCTTAACAATGTTTTATGATACTAGTTACTATAGTCCGTTTGGCTCAAAATCGGACCGATGAATTGCAATCTAACTCGAAAACTACTAAACATATAATACTAGATGCAAAGAGAGGAACAGCCAGCTGCAGGTGCGCGAGAAAGTTGGAGACAGAACAGCACAGGTAAATGATTCAATAGCTTTGTCCGCACTTGTGCACGTGCCTGCGTACACCTGGCTGTTCCTCTCTTTGCAGCCCTCCCTCGTAACAAATAGTGAACTTTGTCAAACTTTTAATGATAGTTTGTTAAACAACTTTTTATTTTTAGGACATAAATTCTGCGAGTTGGTCTGATGTTTCGATTATGATCAGTTTTCATTGAGTATTATATGTTTAGTAGTTTTCGAGTTAGATTGCAATTCATCGGGTCCGCTTTTGAGCCAAACGGACTATAGTTACGATAGTACATTCACGCATGCAGAACTATTGCAATACGCACTACACGTATGTTCTATTGCAATATGCACTACACGTATGTTCTATTCTAGAAATAGTGCACTCACGTATACAGAAGCCACAGAAGGCTTGACAGTGGGACTTAGCCCACGACTCGTAGGGGCCAGTACAGGACGCATGGCTGTAGGAGTCGCAGTTGGGGATGCTGTCTTTGCAGTCTGTAAACACAAGGAAGCCAGTCGTCGACAGTGACTATACCAGGAACATGTCAAGTTAAAATAAAGGTCTCACATGTGATTGTTGAAACAGTACGGCAACAGAAGGGAACAGTATCCCTATTACAAGGCATTTCATCAATAGTATCCCTATTACAAGGTAATTCATCAATAGTATCCCTATTACAAGGTAATTCATCAATAGTATCCCTATTACAAGGCATTTCATCAATAGTATCCCTATTACAAGGCATTTCATCAATAGTATCCCTATTACAAGGTTATTCATCAATAGAATCCCAATTACAAGGTAATTCACCAATAGCATCTCTATTACAAGGCATTTCATCAGTAGTATCCCCATTACAAGGTAATTCATCAATAGTATCCCCTATTACAAGGTAATTCATCAATAGTATCCCTATTACAAGGTAATTCATCAATAGTATCCCTATTACAAGGTAATTCATCAATAGTATCCCTATTACAAGGTAATTCATCAATAGTATCCCTATTACAAGGTAATTCATCAATGGTATCCCTATTGCAAGGTAATTCATCAATAGTATCCCTATTACAAGGTAATTCATCAAAAGTATCCCAATTATAAGGTAATTCACAAATAGCATCTCTATTACAAGGCAATTTAATCAGTAGTATCCCCATTACAAGCTAATTCATCAATAGTATCCCTAGTATAAGGTAATTCATCAATAGTATCCCCATTACAAGGTAATTCATCAACAGTATCTCTATTACAAGGCATTTCATCAATAGTATCCCTATTACAAGGCATTCCATCAATAGTATCCCTATTACAAGGTAATTCATCAATAGTATCCCTATTGCAAGGTAATTCATCAATAGTATCCCTATTGCAAGATAATTCATCAATAGTATCTCTATTGCAAGGTAATTCATCAATAGTATCTCTATTACAAGGCATTTCATCAATAGTATCCCCATTACAAGGTAATTCATCAATAGTATCCCTATTACAAGGCAATTCATCAATAGTATCACCATTACAAGGTAATTCATCAACAGTATCCCAATTACAAGGTAATTCATCAATAGTATCCCTATTACGAGGTAATTCATCAACAGTATCTCTATTACAAGGCATTTCATCAATAGTATCCCTATTACAAGGTAATTCATCAAAAGTATCCCTATTACGAGGTAATTCATCAATAATATCCCTATTGCAAGGAAAATCATAAATAGTATCTCTATTACAAGGCATTTCATCACTAGTATCCCCATTACAAGTTAATTCATCAATAGTATCCCTATTACGAGGTAATTCATCAATATTATCCCTATTGCAAGGAAAATCATCAATAGTATCTCTATTACAAGGCATTTCATCACTAGTATCCCCATTACAAGGTAATTCATCAATAGTATCCCTATTATGAGGTAATTCATCAATAATATCCCTATTGCAAGGAAAGTCATCAATAGTATCTCTATTACAAGGCATTTCATCAATAGTATCCCTATTACAAGGTAATTCATCAATAATATCCCTATTGCAAGGTAATTCATCAATAGTATCTCTATTACAAGGCATTTCATCAATAGTATCCCCATTACAAGGTAATTCATCAATAGTATCCCCTATTACAGGGTAATTTATCAACAATATCCCTATTACAAGGAAAATCATCAATAGTATCTCTATTACAAGGCATTTCATCACTAGTATCCCCATTACAAGGTAATTCATCAATAGTATCCCTATTACGAGGTAATTCATCAATAATATCCCTATTGCAAGGAAAATCATCAATAGTATCTCTATTACAAGGCATTTCATCACTAGTATCATTACTACAGAGTAATTCATCATAGTATTCTTATAAAAATAGTATTTCATAGAAATATCCATTAGAAGATAATTAGTGTATAGTATCCATTGTACACGGTTAATCAAGATTGAGTTTATAGATGAAGTAAATACCACCGTGTTTTCTAAATGACTATTTCAGTAATGCTGTATGATCAACTCACTTGGGTCCCCGACTGCTACAGATGAAGCTGCGACAGTGGAATCTGGAGCAGATAAGATAAAACACGATACCAAAATCTAAAGTTCAGTATAACTAGCCAAATGAATAAACTATTGTAAGAATGTCTCAGAATGCCTGTAGCATATTACAGGATATATCCCAGCATTAAGAATGGTGTTGTACCAAAGCAGAGAAACGATACGGGTCTTCGCCCTAATGTGAAAACGTGTAATCCCCCCAGCGCCCATAGTGGAGGATTAACCGTATGCTCTCCTGGATATCCAAAGGGGGTCAGGGACAGTTGGATCTAGTGACATGGGTGGATTATATAGACATGATAAACTGTATATGCTGACCTGTGCTTCCAGCGGCAACCGTTGGGACACGGACAGGTGGACCTAATGACAAGAACGGATTGTGATACAGCGAGAAAAAAGACAAGGACGGATTATGCATGCTCACCTGTGCTTCCAGCAGCAACCGTCGGTTCAGGTACAGGTTGACCTAATGACAAGGACGAATTATAATGGCATGATAAATTGTATGCTCACCTGTGCTTCCAGCGGCAACCGTAGGGACAGGGAGACCTAGAGATAAGGACGAATTATAATGGCATGATAAATTGTATGCTCACCTGTGCTTCCAGCGGCAACCGTTGGGACACGGAGAGGTGGACCTAATGACAAGGAGGGATTATATAGATATGATAAACTGTATGCTGTGCTCCCAGCGGCAACTGTTGGGGCAGAGACAGTTGGATCTAATAACAAAGGCGGATTATATAGACATGATAAATTGTATGCTCACCTGTGCTTCCAGCGGCAACCGTTGGTACAGGTACAGGTGGACCTAATGACAAGGACGGATTATAATGGCATGATAAATTGTATGCTCACCTGTGCTTCCAGCGGCAACCGTTGGGACAGGGAGACCTAGAGATAAGGACGGATTATAATGTCATGATAAATTGTATGCTGTATGCTGTGCTCCCAGCGGCAACTTTTGGGGTAGAGACAGTTGGAATTAATGACAAGGACGGATTATATAGGCATGATAAACTGTATGCTCACCGGTGCTACCAGCGGCAACCGTTGGGACACGGACAGGTGGACCTAATGACAAAGACGGATTATAAAAAGACTTGTATAGTCTGTCAAACATACAATCTTGTCTTTCCTTGAAAAACGTTTTTCTCATTTGTTTTTATAAATTGCTATGATGTTTTTCACAATACGCCCATCTCTGTGTAACTACTTCTTATGTTTTCTGAGGGCGGTGAGGTAGCGTAGTGGTTAAAGCGTTCGCTCGTCACGCCGAAGACCCTGGTTCGAATCCCCACATGGGTATATTGTGTGAAGCTCATTTCTGGTGTCCCCCGCCGTGATATTGCTGGAATATTGCTAAAAGCGGCGTAAAACCAAACTCAATCACTCACTCATTCTTATGTTTTCTCCTCCCGTGTTTACCTACACCCGATGCGTATTTAACATGTCAATATGTGAATCAAGAGCAGGTCGAATGCGACTAACTTTAATGTGAGAAATTGAAACACATGTAGTTAATACGTTTTTGTTCAAATATGGCATTTAGTATCTATATGGCATTTCATTTATTTGAGTGAGTGAGGTAATGCTTAACGTCACATCGGCAATATTTCAGCCATATCGTGACGAGAACAAATTTGATGTTGATAAGTAATACGTACATGCTATATAACCTGTCGTCAAAGGACAGTAAAACAAGTAGAGTATCACACTTAGAATTATAGAATTAAATCTCTTTATTTGGTATATCTCAGATTGTTTCACCGGTAATCCTGTATATCACACACCACAAGCTCCCTCACATTGCAGATAGTATGGTAACTATTCTACAATCAGAAAAATACTATCTCGGTCCGAAGTGTCTTCAAAAACATGTGTTCCCCGCCGTGATATTGCTGGAATATTGCTAAAAGCGGCGTAAAACTAAACTCACTGACTCACTTTAAAACCATTATTATTCCACCTTTCATTTCTTCCACTGTTGTTTAATATAGATAAGTGTCCTATGGCTAATGAACGTATATTTGGCCAAAAGATGTCAGAGGGCTACATATCATTGCTTCTTTTCTTATTCGGTGAAAACAATTTGCCTTTTGCGCTAAAAATAATTTCTTTAAGGTGAATTTCATTGATATTAATTTTCCGTTGAAATTCAAAATGCATTTGTAACCACCGATATTCATTTTTCTTTACATAGTAAAGGATGTACGAGATTTACTCCTTAACCACATATCGAGAAGTCGCTTTTATTGAAAAACCGTGCATGTAGGTTATGTAATATTTTTGCCTTTGCAAAGATAACACATAACTTGAAAACTGTGCAGATATATAACAATAAAGGAGTTTTGGGGTTATCACAATTTGGTATTTGAAATCTTAAACAGTCATAGTGTATAAGGATATTTTTCATTGCTGTGTTATTGTGGTAATGCTATGCCAGTGGCCATTTATAATAATCGGCGCTTACGATAACAATGGGTAACTGTTAGGGCTGAGACGTGTCCACATTTTCTACCCGGGCATCCCATTCCCGACCCTACCCGGATACCCTTTATCGTAATTCCTGACATCAAATTTGTAAGAAATGGCAATATATTCTTCAGCTCGGAGGCTAAAATTTCGAGTTTTTAATATCTTAACCATGTATTATATTCAAAAGAATTGACTGTAATTATGTCTAAATCTTCAAATACAATACAGCCTTTTAATCATGAAAGAATAACGTATTACATTGTTTAATCTGTTGACCACATGATCATAACGGGTAGACCGGGTCCAACTCATTAGCCACCCATCCGGGTATCCGGTTTACTCGTCCCAGCCCTGTGTACTGACTCTGTGAAGATTACACCCCACAAATAGGAGTTGGTTTGTTTGTTGTGTCACACCGCACTTAGCAATATTGCAGCTGTGTGGCGGCGGTCTGTATTAAATAATAGAGTCTGGACCAGACAATCCAGTGATCAACAGCATGAGCATCAATCTACGCAATTGGATATGATGACATGTGTCAACCAAGTCAGCGAGCCTGACCACCCGATCCCGTTAGTCGCCTCTTACGACAAGCATGGGTTGGGTTTGCTGAAGACCAATTCTAACCTGGATCTTCACCGGTCTCCCACGAGTAGTAAGGGAAAGACATGTAGTTTTATCATACACATACCGTGTTTGGTCGGTACACTCGCAGCGTGGATGGTATCTGGGTATAAAAATATGGATATAAAAACATTGCTCTAAAACGAACTAAAATATTCATGCAGTGTTTTGACCAATGAAAAATCCAGTGACACGTTAATATGAAAAATTATGCTGATCATACTGATCACAGTATTTTATCTTATTCAGGTGAAAATGACCTGAAAATATAAAAAAGGCAAATGTCATCGTGAACATTCTATTAAAAAAGTAGATAAACCACTTACTTAACAATGCCGCGATAATTAGGAGCAGGCTTCCAGTCATTTTTAAGCCTTTAGTGCCAGCTGATGTCCTCCACAGAGATAAGTTCTACACGTGGATGGTAAAAGCCTCAGCGGTTTGTCCTAACCCGAGTAAGATAAGATAGGATAAGATCGGCGTCAAAGTTTACATGTCTACAGCGAAAAGGTCAACTCCAGCAGTGGATCCGGAATCAAGCAAAAACTGGGTCACTTATGATATTCATGCAAGGGTTCACACGAGGGGCGGCGAGGTAACCCAGTGCTTAAAGTCAGGGGCGTAGTTACCATTATGAAGAAAAGCCCGGGCTTATACATGATTCTTGCTAAAAAGGTTGGGCAAGCCATCAATACTATCTAAGTATAAAGCTTTGCAACCTATCGGGCTTACACGAAAACATTGGCTTGCTACACGCCTGAAAGTGCTTGCAATCCCGACGGGGGCTGGTTCGATTCCCAAAATGAGTACAATGGGTGAAGCCCATGTTTATTTTTCCCGTCCTGGTATAACTGGAAAATTTCTAAAACAAACGCTCACTTTTGATAAACAGGTTTTGTCTGAATTAATTTCCTGGTACCTGTGATCAACTCAAAAAAAAGTACTAGAATTTGTACTTTACTAAGAAAGTGTAATCCCAAATATAACATATGTTACATTTGACCACTTTCTAAATGGCATTGTGTAATCATAACTGTGATCGAGACAATGTCTGCTAATAATTCCTCGTCTTTACTTACAGTCAGTGCTTGAGGGAATGCGGTCTAGCTGGTCAACGACTATTAGCATTTCCGAATAATTGTTTGTTGTCTGTTGTAATATTGTTTGTTTTGTTTTGTTTTGTTTTGTTTGTGCTTAACGCCGAACTCAGCCATATTCCAGCTATATTACGGCTGGTCCAGACAATCCAGTGATGAGATATATGAGAATAGAAATACGCAAATGTGTACTGTGTTACGATGGTATCCATTAACCAAGACAACCCGCTCCCGCGTATTTGCGAAAGACCAGTTTAGACAGGATTCTCCATGGATCCTGTTTATTGTAGAACATGACAGTCACTTTCCCGGTTTTCTGAAAATAACAATTTTACGACTAAAGGTCATTTTTTTGGTAAAGGGAGATGGGGTAGCCTAGTGGTTAAGTCGGTGGCTCGTCACTTCACGTCACGTCACGTTCAGTTCACGCATGATCACGGCACAACTATGTCGCGGGACGTAACTTGAAATATTTACCGTTCGTTTGTTTTTTCACGTGTATTATCATTACTTATCAGAAATACTATTTCAACAACAATTAATCACCCACACAGCTACAGATAACTACATGATATGGCAAACAATATAATAGAATATGCTTCCAATAACTTTCCCAATTTCCGCTCTTTTTATACATTTGTACATCATTTGTTTCATAATAACTACAATCATTATAGCGCCATCTGGAAGACAGACTCACAGGCTTTAAGTGTTGATAACTGCCCCTGTCTACGGAGCAGTCCAGAGCTGTTTAGAACTGATAAGGACAAGATGGCGACCAGACTTGTTATACCGGCACTGCTAGGGGTCGGTATGTATTTGTCTAATTTCATCATTCTCAGTTGCTAGGAAACTATCATAATATCAATACCTCAAAGGAGTCATCTCAACTTCATGAATTATATGATCTTAACGATACGTCAGTGTTGAGAGGATCCGTCAAGAGCTAGGCAGACAACTAATTCTGTACGGCAGGTTATATACACTGTACTCATGCCAATAATGGTTGTCACCCCTTCAATTTTTTTTATTGGAGAGGGGTGTGGGCTAAGGGTGTGGGGGTTTGGGTGGGGAGGGGTGACAACCATTATTGGCATGAGTATACAATCTTTGTTTTGGTTATTAAAATCGGAATGGCTGAATGTTTATTCGTTTGGGTGGAAATGGATTTATAATTATTTAAAACCAAGCTTAAATGATGTGCAGTATGCTTCAAACGTGGAAAGAGATGTTTTTTATTAATATTTAAAATTACCATGACGACTTGAATAGATAAGATTACTCGACACAATCGTGGATAAGGACTCTTTATACTTGAACATGTAACTGGTGAGTTGACATGTTTTATTGTGATACAACAATGTATGACAGTGACAAAACTGGTTCACTTCTAGTCTGAGGTAACCGTGTCATCTGTACAATCCGACACGCTGTCTAAACCGGATTATTTCTTTAGTCCCGACGAGTGCTGGTTTAGACAGCTTCAACTGTACTTGATTTGCAGAGGGATTCTGTATAAATATTCAATATCGACCTGAGTTTCCGGTACATTTAACTGCGTTAAACTTATTTGGAATCGAAAGTGCAACTCTACAACTAAGCACAACTGTCCAGCTTTTCAACTTAGTCCCCGTGAACATCTGACCTAGAATTGGTATTCAGGGAACTCACGCTTGAAGTTAGGATCAATTAATGAGATCGGGTGGTCAGGCTTATCTGGTCGAGATGCGACTATTTAGAGCCCACCGTCATATACGAGAAATATTGTTGATTGCGGCTTTCAACAAACAAACAGACAAATAGCAAAGAACATACGTTACCTTTTCTACACGACAAAGTGAATTGTGAAGATTTGATCAAGGTTGAGTCTATTACTTCGAGTAAAACCCCGTGAAGATCCGTTTAGAATTGGTCTCCAGCAACCCATGCTTCCTGTTACAGCCAACTAACGGGTCAGGTGGTCAGGCTCGCCAACGTGTTTGACACATGTCATCGAACAGTTGCAATTTCACAATTTCAAGAATTCTGTTGTCACGATGATCGCTGAATACACTCGATCTTTATGGTGTTTTATCTGCAATGTTCATATAAAGGGTACTATTTCAAAATGCCTTCCGAAAAGATTGAGATTCGTTGGCAAACGACGTTCGGTAGAGCAATCAAAGGCGAGTTTTCCAAAACTGATAGTAGCGTAAGTAGCCACTGTGAAAGCGTTGGATTTGAACATACTGTGTATCACGTTTCTGCTGGGGTGGTGGGGTAGCCTAGTGATTAAAGCGTTCGCTCGTCACGCCGAAGACCGGTCCCGATTCCACACATGGGTACAATGTGTGAAACCGATTCTGGTGTCCCCCACCGTGATATTGCTGGAATATTGCTAAAAGCAGCGTCAAAATAGACTCACCCATTCACGTTTCTGCTGCCAGTGTGCATTGCAGTCACCCACTGTGTCAAGCAGGAACAGCCCATTGCCTTGAAGAAAAGATGGGGTGAGTATACAAAGAAATATTTAATTTAAATTTAAGTTTCATTAATTTGGTGTATTTATAAAAAAAATCCCAAAGCGTTTACTGCGTTTTTGAGTTTTTAAGATGTATGCGCGTTATAATGTTGAAAAGGGTTAATGGCTGTGGAGGTTGCGCTAGACACCTACCAAAATTATTATTATGATGAATATCATTACCATTAGTATTGCTATTATTGTTTATACGAGCTGACAGTCAAAGGTTCACAATCGTGGAGCATCTCGATTCGAAGCTATGCACTCATTTAATCTTATCCTAATTGCGTAGATTGATGCTCATGCTGTTTATCACTGGATTGTCTGGTCCTGACTCGATTAATTACAGACATCCGCCATATAGATGGAATATTGCTGAGTGCAGCGTTAAATAACAAACAACGGCAACGACAAAGCGATGCAGCGATCGTATAACCTCGTGGAAATCAAGCGAGTTTTTTGTTCTGTTTGCTTTCAACATCTCAGTCTTATTGTGAATACCATGGATTTCAGTGCCAACAGAGGCGCCGCAGGAATGCGGTGACAACGCCCCAAACTGCAACGAATACAACCTGGTCGACATCTGCCAACAACCCCATCTACGCCGACTGGGTCTACGCCAACTGCCGTCAGTCATGTGGAGTGTGCGATCGTGAGTGTGTATGGCTGTCCGGTATTCAACATACTAGTTTGTCTCACAGTCCCTGAAACCCTTGCCCATTCCAATCAGCCCTTTCCGCATTGCTGAAACCATAAACGAAGTCTATGCAAGTCAAGATTTTCCTTGAGAATCCCCATTTCAACTAGGGCTCCTTTCCATTTTAATAGGAATTGTTTGTGTCTATCAAAATTATATATATTCAGGGAGTAACCATTAGGCTTTCAACATATCGTCATTACGGACTTTGTGAAGATGGCTACGACTCGTGGGCTTTGTGTTGGTTATGCGTGGTGGAAAAGTATGGATTCCTGTAAGGGACATTATCAAGATGTCGTGTTCTCCCACTTTATTAAAAATTCTCCCGCATATTAAACTCTTTCCATTTAGTAAGATCGCGACAATGCGAGATCGCGAGACAGTTATTTACAGTATTCTGTAGGTAAGGAACCAAATAGATTGTCTGTTCCTCAATATTCAGACCATACCATAACTCATCCTGGAGTACACCACTCGTGGTTGATAGTGAGTGAGGTAGGTTTACTACTGAAACAGAACGAATGGAGACGACGGCGCAGAACACTTTTCGATGCCTTACACAACCAGGCCATGCGTTTCTCCAAATGAGTTTGTGTGGTTGTCCAATGTTTGCCATCATCACGGGATCACCATGCGCTCTTCATGACTAATCTGTGTCAGACCACCAGTTAAGATCTAGGTTAGAATTGGTCTTCAGCAATCCATGCTTGTCGAAATAATCGACTAACGGGATCGAGTAGTCAGGCCCGTTGACTTGGTTGACAAATGTCATCGTTTCCGAATTGCGTAGATAGGTGCCCATGTTGATCGTTGGACTGCTGCCATATAGCTGGAATACTGCTGAGTGCGGCATTAAACAACAACCAACCAGCCATCTCTTGAAAACAATGGTGAGATGACAGGTTCGTTCGCCGCCTGGCTACGCCAAGGAGTCTTCATTTTCATTCTTACCCGTCGTGACCACCCGACCATCATGAACATCTCTCTACAGCAAGTAGAACAACCATTACGTATTTCATCTCAGGGACGTCTGTTTGTATTTCTTCCAGAGACACCGGGGCTTAGAACGACGACTACAACTGCACCAACGATCACAACAAGTATGAATAATGTCCTCCTTATTCAAGTCCTTTGTGTGCAACTCCTTTGTGTCCACTTCCTCTTCATTGACCTCTTCTATATTCGTCCGCCCGGAGAGCGGAAGGTCGCGGGTTCGATCCCCTACCGCGCCATACCAAAAGACGTTAAAATATGGTACTTGTTGGTCCCTGCCTGGCGCTCGGCATTAATGGGTACAACAAGGACTTGTCGGCTCGGAGTCAGTATAATGTGTCTGAGTGGGGTATTCATGCTTCACTGCGTCATGGTATCTCAGTGGGCAAGCACTATAACACCAGCTTCAGTCTGGGCTAGTACAAGCAGCCGCACATACACATACACACGCATGCACGTCGTCATATGAGCGAAATATTCTCAAGCACGACGTTAAACCCAATTTCATCTCACCTCACCTTCTATATTCACTTCTGGTGTATTCTGTATTAACATCGTCTGGGTTCATCTCATCTATATTCACCGCCTCAATATTCCTCTGTAGCTCCTCTGTAATTCACCTATGTTTCACTGACCTCCGCTATATTCACTTTCGGTGTATTCTGTATGAACATCGTCTGGGTTCATCTCATCTATATTCACCGCCTCAATATTCCTCTGTAGCTCCTCTGTAATTCACCTATGTTTTACTGACCTCCGCTATATTCACTTTCGGTGTATTTCATAGTCACTTCCTCTTGTTCATCCCAGTAATCACCTCCTCTACGTTCACCTTGTTTACATTCAACTCCTCTGTAATTTCACCCTAAATATACTTTATGTCATAAATAATCACTTTATCTTCATCTGTGTTCATCTCCTCTATATTCACCTCTGTATGTTCATCCCCCTTATATTCACTTACCTTCTTCATATTCAACTCATCTGCATTTTCCTCCCTGGTATACTTTACCTCATATTTTATTATTTCCTCTACATTGACCTCCTTTGTATTTATCTCCTTTTGTTCACCTCCTGTGTATTCACGGACACTTCTTCCATATTCACCTTTTTGCATTTAGGGGCGGTGGGGTAGCCTAGTGGCTCGTCACGCCGAAGGCCCGGGTTTGATTCTCCACATGGGTACAATGTGTGAAGCCCATTTCTGGTGTCTCCCGCCGTGATATTGCTGGAATATTGCTAAAAGCGGCATTAAACTAACTCACTCTTTTGCAATTACCTCAACTATGTTCACAGCCCCTTTGTTTACCTCCTTTCATCGCCTGTATATAATTAACCTCTTCTACATCTACCTCCTATACGTCCCACAGCGGAAGTGGTGGTCGAGTGCAAGGACAAAATATCGAACTGTGACGAGTACCAGGACGACATGTGCACCAATCCAAGCTATCATAACTGGGCTCATGAGAACTGTCGACACTTCTGTGGATTTTGTGAAGGTAACTCACCATTTGTTTGAACAATCATTATCTCCACTTGCTGTGATCACAACATGATGTCTTTATTGTAAAGAGGGTCTATTCTTATTCAGAATTGTGAAATTGGCGTTTTTAATAACTATACATGGATTTGAAACATGATTTATCACCCAAATTCAGACTCGCATTGAATCAAAGCATGATATATATACACGATGCACCTGTGCTACGTTAAATGCGACTAACGGGATCGGGTGGTCAGGCTCGCTGACTTGGTTGACACATGTCATCGTATGGTGTTGATCACTGGATTGACTGGTCCAGACTCTTTTATTTACAGACCGCTGCCATATAGCCGGAATAGTGCTGAGTTAAACAATCAACCAACACAATCTTTTCCTTACGTATTCAGCGTTACCTGTCAGTGCGGTGAAAATATACCGCCTGCACTATGAGTCAAATTTGTGAACCCTCCCTCTTATCATTCACATCCGATCAGAGTTTTAATTTACTTCTGAAAGACGCTGTCACGCCATTTGCTGTTTTTGAGCAGTGGAGGTCACTGTAAAGCAGGTAGCCGGAGCTTTACTCTTGTCATTGAGTGACGACCAATGTAAAGTATCGATGCAACCTTCACTATTGACATTGGAAGTCAAGGATCTATGTGAAAAGCAATATAAAGCTTGACGGGTACCAGTGAAAGATGGACGCTTACCATTGAGAGATGCATGGAATTTGTGCCGATAACATTAATTTGACTATTGGGAGTGATTTTACATGCTTCAGTGATGGAAATCATTGTAATGAAGTTAGGAAGAGGTTCAGATATTTCATCTTGTTCTTGAGAACGCTGCGGTACGGATAAAGGTAAATGTAAAGCAAGACTTGTGGAATTTCACCATTGGAAAAGGGAGGTCCAAGCAGCCCTGCAAAGCCTTTAATCATTTTCCAACATGAACTATGGAGGATCAGATAATGGTATAAGGGTTGACTGCCTTTTCTTTTACTATTAAAGTTAACTATCAATATCAAATGCGCAAGAAGCCTTGACTCTTATCAATCAGTGATCGCAGTAATGTAAAAGGAAATATTTGGTGTTTTTACAGAAGTGATGATGTACAGTGTAAGGAAATGTCGATATTGAGTGTTGGAGTCCATGTAAAATAACGTTGCGGACCATTTCACTTGTCACTGATGAACAGTTGCGGATGTCAAGAATTTAAGGAGCATTACATTTCGCCTACCACTGACGGGAATTCAATGTAAAAACTAATGTATCTTTACCCTTGCCAGCGAGCAGTGTAACCTTTACTCGCCATATTTGGCAACAGAAGTGGATTAATTAAAACAGCGGACGAACCTTTACTCCTGCAATTTAGCAACTGAGATCAACATTAGATTTGTCTCAAACATTTACCCTTCTTTATTGAGCGATGGAGGTTAAGGATGACCAGCTAAGAAGTAAAGATAATTGTAAAGGACATTGGGAACCTAAACTAAATACAACTGAGTGATTGAAGTAAATCCCGAGGATGATAGGAAAACTTTGCTATCCCCATGCACATAGATACGATTCTATGCACAGAAGCGTTGAGAACACCTTTAGCAATGGAGGCCAATGTAAAGGAGGACTGCAAACATATCCCCTTGCATTTGAGCGATGAAGGTCAATGGTAAGAAGAGTTCAAACCTCTTAACTTTGATATTGATCGATGAAGAAAGACGAAAAGAACCTTCACCCTTTCGTCACTGGACAGTGGCTGCCAGTGTATAGGAGTGTTGCAAACAATTACTCATCCAAACTTCCCTCTACATCTATCTTGCAGCAGGTTCAGTGACATCAAAACACCACCGCTGACGAATGCAACATCACCAACGCAAGATCCCACCGAGAGTATGTACCCACTGTAACATTACCCACCCTTATCAGATGACACTGAGCCCTTCCAGTTCAAACCCTGATTCGAAATGATACATCTTCACTTCATCCACATCCTTCCTTCCCTATCACTTATTACAGACCCTGAGCAATTTTGTGAAAAGTGTGGTGAACCCTTCCTCTTATCATTCACATCCAATCACTGTTTTCATATTTTCTTCTGAACACTGCTGTCATATCATTGTTAAAGCATGTAACGGAACTTGCCATTGAGTGACGACCGATTTAAAGTAGCGTTGGAGGCTTCACCATTGGCATTGGGAGGCATGGATCTATGTATAGAAACACTATAAAGCTTGACGCTTACCACTGATGGATGTGTCTGTGTCCGTAAAGTTGTGCCGAGAACATTCATTTTACTATTGGTAGTGAGGTTACATCCTTCAGCGATGGAAATCAAAGTAATGTAGTTAGGAAGCGGTTAAGATATTTCATCTTGTTCTTGAGGACGCCACAGTACAGGCACGTTGATGGATACAGGTAAATGTAAAGCAAGACTTGTGCCATTTCGCCACTGAAAATGGGAGGTCCAAGCAGCCCTCGCAAAGCATTTAATCACTTTCCAACATGAACTATGGAGGATCAGATAATGGTATAAGGGTTGACTGCCTTTTCTTTTACTATTAAAGTTAACTATCAATATCAAATGCGCAAGAAGCCTTTACTCTTATCAATGAGTGATCGCGGTAATGTAAAAGGAAATATTTGGTGTTTTTACAGAAGTGATGATGTACAGTGTAAGGAAATGTCGATATTGAGTGTTGGAGTCCATGTAAAATAACGTTGTGTACCTTTTCTCTTGTCACTGATGAACAGTTGCGGATGTCAAGAATTAAAGAAGCATTACATTTCGCCTACCACTGAAGGGATGTCAATGTAAAAAGGACATGCCAGCTAGCAATGTAACCTGTACTCATCAGAAGTGGATTAATTAACAAGCGTACAAACCTTTACTCCTGCAATTTAGCAATTAAAAACAACATTAGATTTGTCTCAAACGTTCACCCGTCGTTATTGAGCGGTGGAGGTGAAGAAATGGCAGCTAAGAAAGAAAGAAACTTGTAAAGGACATTGTGAACTTTTACTAAATACAACTGAGGGATGGGGGTAAATCCTAAGGATGATAGGAAATCTTTATTCCCACGCACAGAGATGCGATTCTATGCACAGGAGCATTGAGAACACCTATAGCAATGGAGGCCAATGTAAAGGAGGACTGCAAACATATCCCCTTGCATTTGAGCGATGAAGATCAATGGTAAGAAGAGTTCAAACCTCTAAATCTAATGCAAGACAGTTAGGAGAACCTTAACTTTCATATTGATCGATGAAGAACGACGAAAAGAACCTTCACCCTTTTGTCACTGGACAGTGGTTGCCAATGTTTTGGAGTGTTGCAAACAATTACTCATCCAAACTTCCCTCTACATCTATCTTGCAGCAGGTTCAGTGACATCAAAGACACCACCGCTGACGAATGCAACATCAACAACAAGAGATCCCACCGAGAGTATGTACCCACTGTAGCATTACCCACCCTTATCAGATGACACTGTGCCCTCCAGTTCAAAACCTGTTTCGAAATGATAATCATCACTTCATCCACATCATCCCCTATCACTTATTGCAGGTCCTGAGCAATTTTGTGGAAGGTAAGCAATCTCAAAATGTATTAACCAAATTTGTGAACCCTTCCTCTTATCATTCACATCCGATCAGAGTGCTCATTTTCTTCTGAAAACTGCCATCAAGTCATTTTCTCTTTTTGAACAATGGAAGCCACTGTAAAGCAGGTTACCCAAACTTTACTCTTGTCATTGTGTGACGACGATCAATGGAAGGTAGCGTCCCAACCATTGCTACTGACATTGGAAGTCGTGGATCAATGAAGACTTTAGCTTCGATTTAGATTGATGAAGATCAAAGAACCGAGCTTTCACCTTTTCTTAGCACTGAGCAGTTTCTGCCAATGTATAGGAGTGTTCCACACCATTACCCATCCATATATCCTCTACAAGATCCCACTGAGAGTATGTATCCGCTGTAATATTACCCATTATTATCAGATGACAAGGAGTGAGTGAGTGAGCATTGTTTTAAGCCGCTTTCAGCAATATCCCAGCAATATCCCAGCAATATCACGGCGGTTGATGACAAGGACTATGAAGACACTGTGCTCTTCCAGTTCAAGTTTTTACATGATTTTAATAACTTCATCCACATCCTCTGTCACTTATTCCAGTCCCTAAACTGTTTTGTCAAAGTTATACAAACTCAAAATGTGAGCATTAGAGACCAAGCAGTGAGACCGAAAAACCAAGAGCTAGGATGTACCACATCAGGAGCTCAACATCATCTCAAGAGGCAAGAACATTAAGCCAAGTGCGGTTTTAGGAAACATCCTATGAGATCACTGCTGCAAAGTGTTTCTAATAAGATACCTCTAACGTCTTACAAGGCAGGGAGTGTTGACTAATTCGTGTCCAGAAGCAAAATACTACATGGATACATTTGTAAAGACTCCCAAACTATTTCATCGGAGATTTTCTTTAAAATTTCCCCGATAAGATTTGATCACGTTTCTGCATCTATACCTTCCCAAACCCTGGTCATAGCTGATGTAGACATGGGGAATGGACAACAAACCCGACCCTTTCACTGTAAAAATATTTATACAACAATGTTTATATGGACATTAGGCATACAATTTTTTATACAGTGTGTTTTTCTGGTGAAATATGTTTTAATTTTTCAAGAATATTTTCCAGGAATCGCAGAAATCGATGGTTGCTGAACAGGACTTGATAGACAGTTCTTTCTTACATTTGTTTAGGGCGTGTGTATGGGGACTTGTGATTTTCTCAGATATGATTTTTTCTTCACTACAGTTTGCTTCGACAGAGTAGAATGTGATAAATATGACATCCGTGAATCATGTTGTGGAGCGTACGAGCCCTGGGCCAGAGAAAACTGTGCAAGATACTGCAAGTTCTGTAGTAAGTACAAGACGAACAACAAAAACAAAACAAACGACAGGGACCAAAGAGTGTTATTAAGTATGAAGTGCTATTAAGTACGACATTTTGGCAAGAAATAATGACAAGTTCCAGTTCTTCAGTTACAACACACCACTGTGCTAGAGAAAAGAACACGGACCAGACACTTAATGTTCTCTGGTACGTACTTTCCTCGAGTCGTCAACCAAATTTCCTGATTAACAAATTCTTATTTAATTTTTATATTTCCATCCTCTGAAGACATGAATCTTTTAGTGATAAGCATCTTTTTTTGTTGCCATGATTCATGGGTACTTCTTAACCCTTCACGAAGTTAATACTGATTGATGTTAAAGTTTGATTCCCAAGTGGTGACAGTAACAACGGCCTTTAAGTCACCAATAGCCAGTATTTGCCCCACATGAGTGATCCGTTCTTGAATCAAGGAGGCAGTGTTGCAGGCAGGCAAGGCGTTGATGTAAGGGGATATATATATATACCGTTCGTACAGGCAAGTAGATAAGATTCAAGTCAGATCGCAGAAGATCTCGCTTCTATGAAGATAGGTACATTGAGTATGGCTTTGTGACGTGTTTAGCAACATTCCAGCAATATCTTGGAGGGGGTACAACAGAAATGAGGTAGGTACAGCCTATACTTTCTGGAAACTGTTACCTTACCAAGCACCACGAAGCGTCAACTCTGAATAAGCTCCTCATAGCCCAACTCTTTATACAGGGAGGGTAACGAAGATGTAAAACACTAGAGTTCGTGCTGTACGTAACTAAGGGAGGTCACTCTATTTTACAAGTTGCCGTGTCCTGCCACAAAGACCTATTTACAACAGATTACGAAATTCAATGAGTGTTTGATTTACAATAACTGACACCAATCAGATATTAACCCACGGTATTATTTTCATTGAAATGTACCACCAGATTCCGCATGGCAAAATAGGGGTGGCGACAATCTTCAGAACTCACCATTTAAGAGACGGGACTATGACTTGATTCAAAGCAGGAAATTCGACACATCTGGACTATTTACTATCTATTGATCACGGTTAATTATATTCATATGTTTTATTTCAAAATGGTGGTGTTACTGCTTTGTAATTCTACGTCTTCAGCTCCTTTGGTAACGCCGGCTCCAGTTTGCCACGACAATGACCCCAACTGTCTCGCCTATGGCGATGACCTCTGCACCAACCCTCTCTACGATAAATTCGTCAAGGAAAACTGTGCGGGCACCTGCAAAGTTTGCCATGGTGAGCATATCAGAAATGAGAAGGAGCAGGGATCTCAGGCCTAATATCACTATATGCGTGAAATAATTGAACATACAGTGTAGCCTATTATCTCAGGAATTACATAGACCTATTTGGATAACGAAAATATAAACTTCGATTTCTTTTACGAATGACATTAAAAGCATATATTACAATTTTCGCACACAACAATTGTGTTTTCCTGCACTTGTCATAACGTTAGCAAACATCAGTGACATTGTATTCCTGGTTTCTGTTGTGGAGGCTACATATTTGCTTAAAACGAAATCAATTGACTTTTCAAGTTATCGAACTGTAAGAACGGTTTACTGATATTTACTTAATGACGGGTACACGTATTGCACGTGATGCTCGACTTTCATCGTAGCACGTGTATATCTAAGGCCAATGTATGGTACCCCAAAGGGTCAACATAGTGATACATACAAACAAACATAATTCTATGATTATAAAAGGCCATATGGGGGTTAGACATAATAGGTTTCGCGATACTGTTTTTTTCAATGTGTACATCTCCCAGTAAGTCTGAAAAATCGCTTGAACAAACTGATTCCGTGATTCTCTTCAGGTTTCGTTGATTTGCCACCATCTGTCAACAGATTCGTTTGAGCGTTGATTTCATTTTCGGATTCAACAGACTGAAGAGATTACTCCATTATGCAAAGCACTCTTTTCTGCTAAACGTCTATATACTTTTTGTGTAATTGGGAGGGCTGGCTATCTGTATAGATCATGCAGATCGATAATCGTTAACTAAATATCGATGGATTACCTATAAATATCGGAGACGTAATTTTGAGCAAAAGAAACCCAAACTGCCTGAAATAAAAGAAAAATATATTTCACATCACTGTGTGAATGATTATGTTTTTTCATGGATTATTAACAAAACAGCGTCCTGAACACAACTTAGAAGTTGACCATGAATAAAGTCCTAAATGTGCATTTTGTGTGAGATAATTAAAACTTTTTCTATCTACGATATTTCCTATTATCGATTACTTTAGTCAGCCCTGGAAATTGTTGTGGTAATAATGTCCATGTCTTTCAGAGCCAGAATATATTCCAAGCTGCGCTCAAGGATCAACTGCAGGTGAGTAGAATCCAGTATTATACGTAGCACAATTAGTCAAGGATGCAATGACATGTTTACATAATCAGTATAGATAACTAGGATCTGATTCCATTGGACGTAAAAGGTAAATTAGTGGGGAAAAGTACATGAATGAATCATTTAATATCAATGAGTGAATGAGTTTAGTTTTACGCAGCACTCAGGAATATCCCAGCTCTATGGCGGCAATCTGTAAATAGTCGAGTCTGGACCAGAAAATCCAGTGATCAACATCATGAGCATCGATCTGCGCAATTGGGAACCGATGACATGTGTCAACCAAGTCAGCGAGCCAGACCACCCGATCCCGTTAGTCGCCTCTTTCGACAAGCATGGGTTCCTGATGATCATTCTATTTCATGGCAACAAATGGATGTTTTAATTCCCTAAGTGGATCTGTCATGTTTCAGCAACGGCTCCGCCAACAACAGCAGCTATCACGACAGCGGCACCAGGTATGAATACTAATCAGCAACAAATTGCAAACTATACTTCTAAATTGATTTTTATCACCCGTTTTACTTCAGTTGATAACATTTTAAGTTATCATAAATCCCAAAACTTAAATTTAAACTGCTAAGTCAACACTCACAGAATGTGAGCGTTTACATCGATATATTTGTTCAACATTTAACAATTTAAAAATTAAAGAGCAAATTCGTTTAATACACAACTGGTATTTTAGACATCTTTGAAATCGATAATTTTTAAATAAATGTTTTAGACGGTTGCAAATTTATTTCTTTCCCGGTTTTAATTAAATCGATTTTTTTAGAAAGAAAATACCCAACCACAAATGACATTTTCAAACTATTGTACAAATGAGTAATGATTGGGGAAAAAAGTAATGGAAATGAGACATGCTTTTATGAATGAATAATGTAGTTTTGAGTGACTAGACTGCCCACACCCTCGCGATGTTTTATTAACAAAGTATCGTTTCATGAGTTTCCTCCAAGTATTGCCCATTTTTTTTCATATATTACTCAATCATAAAGACATTGTCGGTCTCTTCCGGGTATGTGGTCAGACTGTGTGAGGGGCCCATGCGCAATCTATACTTCCTGCTCATGGCTACTGAATGTGCTCAAACCTATACAGGTGTTTGCGCGGACCTTATCGACTGTGTCGGATATGACGTCATGACATCCTGCTGTAGCCCGTATGAAGAATGGGCACGGAAACACTGTCCAAAACACTGCAAATTTTGTGGTAAGCCACTTCCGGTTTTCCTGACCAAATTAAGAAGTGTGATCACAATAATGTTTTACGCTATCATGCTACTGACAATGTGTATTACTTCACTGAATTGCTTGCCAAAATGAAACCGCTTATATTTTTTATCGGAGATGCTATTCGCTCTGTAGAGTTGTGTCCCTTGGACACGTTCGCAATTGGAACTTAGAATTGTTGGTTCGAATCCCAGATTTTATTTAAAATTGCCAGAGACATATCCGTGCTCATCGGTTTCATCAAGGAAGTAAAGGCCTAAGAAATGCATTACTTCCGTCTTTCTTTCCACATTTAGCTGCATGCCGTGGTGTAACGGGAATAATGTAACTAAACACAGCGATAACCCACACTCACTCACTCACTTTTTATTTCATCAAAATAATTATCAATGTATAAGTGTGCGTTATTATATTTGGTTCATCCCCAGTTCCTGCCGTTCCCGACGTCCCCATCTGTCACGACACTGACCCCTTCTGTAGCCAGTACGGACACGACCTCTGCACCAACCCCGCCTACGAGCGTTTCAGACGCGAGAATTGTGCGGGCACCTGCAATGTCTGTGACAGTGAGTACACTGATAGATACCGAATATCCCTTAACCATTTTCAATTGTAATTCGTGTTGTCCTCAAGGGATATTATTATTTTGTCTAATTATCCAAAAAGAAGACTGCTCTTGCAATAGATTTTAAACCTAGACCAAAATCATTCGGAAATGTAGAAGGATGTCTATACAATGTGCAGTCATGACTTTAAACCTTTTTGTAAATCTATATGTATAACTTAGTCCAATCTTGTACATTAGTATTAACAGAAAATTGTCAGGGGATGGAACATTTTCTTGAGAGACAAAATATCAGGCTTCAAACATTATGTTGCTTCAATATATACTATTGAAGGTACGTGATAATGTGTATATGTGTATTCAAATGTAATTGTTCAGAGACTCTGCACAACTGTTAATTTATGCGCAGTGCATTAGCAATGATTCGTTATATAAATATTTGAATGGTCTGTTTTTAACCCATCAAGATAGTGTGGCTCCTTTTGCTACAGGAAATGGTTACATTTGAAGATATAACACTTCTTTCTTTCACCAGAAGAAGACTTAGTGTCAAAGGAAGACCCTTTTCGATTAACGGCATGGAACCCACTTCTAGTGCCCCCAACTGTGATATTGTTGTCATATTGCTGAAGGCTGCGTAAACCAATACTAACTTACAGACTATTGTATCTTTTGGTCATCAGTGCCTGAGGCCATCCCTCCATGTGTCAACGCCACAGTACCTACAGGGGACACTGGAAGTAAGCTCTTACTTATGTGGCGGTGGGGTAGCCTAGTGGTTAAAGCGTTCACTCGTCACACTGAACACCCAGGTTCGATTGCCCACATGGGTACAATGTCTGAAGCGCATTTCTGGTGTTCCCCGACATGATATTGCTGGAATATAGCGTAAAACCACTCACTCATCTTGTGATGAAAGTATTGTCGTTGACTCACTCATCTTGTAATGAAAGTATTCGCTGTTTTTGACAATTTTTTATTTCAGTCAAACTCAACGAATGTTGAATCAGTTGCTTCACTGCATGTTCCAACATGTCGTTTAAAGTGCCCATTAAGCACACAAAAAGTTGCATTTACCTTAGAGTATAAATGAACTCACCACGTTTAAGCTCATATATGACTATCAAATTTTAGGGTGTCCCCATACGTTTTGTTTGTAGTATATACTGGACAAAAATTGTTAGGGATAAATGTCAATTTTGAAATTATGAATAATGATCTATTTATTCATGGACACACTGATACAATATCAATCATAAAAATACCAATATCCCTAAATTATTTTGTCCAGTATATATTTTGTAGTGAAGACTCAGCACAATATTTCATTATTTCATATTCAATAAGATACTACTCACTAAGTGTTCGTGGAACATCTAAACATGTTCAAAACGGATTTGAATCCCACCGACGAACCCTCTCATCTATGCTTTGATCTTCCTGTGTCAGCGTGCGTCATGGACGGCAATCACTACCCCCAAGGAAGCTCGTGGGACAGCGCCGACTGCACGAACCACTGTCGCTGCATCAACAGCCTTACAAACAACATCCAGTGTGACCCCATAGTGTTTGTATACTGCTCTTGTGTCTAATTCTACTTCTGTAGACTGGAGGTGGGGGTGGAGGCGGTCCATTGACTGAGTGCAGAGTAACGCCCCTTAGGCGTTACAGAAACCTATAATAATGTGTTCGAAACCCAGACTCACTCTAATTATGTTACTATGTAATCAGCACAATGACAATGCTTACTGGTTTCTCTATTGTGGTAGGGGCGGTGGGGTAGCCCAGTGGTTAAAGCGTTCGCTCGTCACGCCGAAAACCCGGGTTCGATTCCCCACATGTACAATGTGTGAAGCCCATTTCTGGTGTCCCCCGCGTGATATTGCTGGAATAAAGCGGCGTAAAACTAAACTCACTCACTCACACTAATGTGGTAAACATTAAGCTGACACGCCCTGATATAATTGGAACACTGTTGAAACGGCGTTTAACCAATCACGCTAATCTTCAGTATATTACCAATCAGACATGCATGTAAGGCTTTACAGAGAATCGTACGAATGAACATTGTGTGAACGACAGTGGGTGAAAACGATTTTCCCCAAGTGATTACATGTGTCCCTGAATCTACCCCCTTGTGTTGCAGGTGCCCCTCCCCCGTGCCGAACTGTGACCTAGTGCACATCCCCGGTCACTGCTGCCCACTACTCCATAACTGTAAACCCGCCCCGGGGGGATATAAAATGGTGGGATAACTTGAAGACATGACGGGAAACATCCGTGGAGAATGTACTGTGAACGAATAAATATCTACAGACAACATAATCCGAGAGATGTTTTCCTTACACTGTGTCTTGTTTTTGTTTGTTTGTTGTTTAACGCCGCACTCCGCAATACTTCAGCTATATGACAGCTGTTTGTAAATGATCGAGTCTGAATCTGCCAATCGAGTGATTAACAGCATGAACCGTAATTGACATGTGTCAACCAAGTCAGCGAGCCTGACCACCCGATCCCGTTAGTCGCCTTTTACAACAAGCATGGGTTGCTGAAGACAAATTCTATTGAAGATTCAATAGTAATTCAAATGGTAGTTTTCATTTATCTCTCTATATAACTGTAAGTACTGATTCATCTCTCAACTCTGGTGCTGCTTCATCTCATCGAAAAAATTAAACACAAAATATGCTCGGGAGATTTAATTCAAATGTGAATTCAGAAGGTACAATTGTGTATCTGTAATTCCATCCATCATAACAGCCATCCTGAAAACAGACACCGTACATATTTAATCATATCCAAGGCATGGGAGACAAGTCCAAAAATCACATTATGCGATCCCCATCTAGAAATAAACATGGTTTACTTGACACTGATGTGTTGAACAACACTGACCTAGGACTAAATGTTGCAGTGTATAGTTGAACAACACTTAACTAGGACTGCATGATGCAGTGTATAATTGGACAACACTTACCTAGGACTGAATGTTGCAGTGTATAGTTGGACAACACTTATCTGGGACTGCATCTTGCATTGAATAGTTGGACAACACTTACCTAGGACTGAATGTTGCAGTGTATAGTTGGACAACACTTATCTACGACTGGATGTTGCATTGTATAGTTGGACAACACTTACCTAGAACTAAATGTTGCATTGTATAGTTGGACAACACTTGCCTAGGACTGAATGTTGCATTGTATAGTTGGACAACACTTACCTAGAACTAAATGTTGCATTGTATAGTTGGATAACACTTGCCTAGGACTGAATGTTGCAGTGTATAGTTGGACAACACTTACCTAGAACTGAATGTTGCAGTGTATAGTTGGACAACACTTACCTAGGACTGCATGTTGCATTGTATAGTTGGACAACACTTACCTAGGACTGCATGTTGCAGTGTATAGTTGGGCAACACTTTCCGGGAACTGTTATTTCCTGACAAGTGTTCGGCAGATTCCAATGAGGACATCTGAAAAAATCAACAAGAACTGGTACGTTTGAGAAAGGACATACTGTGGTTATAGGTGACACTTTTCTGCTTTTTCCAATACTTATTGCACCTTGTTTGATTTTGTCACTATTTGATTGTGATTCTACACCTTCTTGTTGACTGAGATAAAACATCGAATCTCTCTTTACTTCATAATATTTCCTCGAATAATATTCATAATAGCGATCAGTTTTTAGATCAAGAAGCACTTACTTGTCAGCACAGCTGACATCATTGAACTCTGCATCCTCACAGGAGCACTCCAACTGGCAGCCATCATCCCACTTCTCCCCTTCTTTGTATTGCTTGCCGTTGTACACGCAAACTAGGGATGAAGTACAACATTGTATACAACAGTCTGACTGACTGACTGAGTTTGGGTTAACGCCGCTTTTCGCAATATTCCAGCAACATCACGGCGGGGAACACTAGAAATGGGCTTCACACATTGTACCCTTGTGGGGATTCGAACCCAGGTCTTCGGCGTGACGAGCCAACGCTTTAACCACTAGGCTACCCCACCGCCCCGTATACAATAGTGATATTGTACACGTAAACTAGGGATGCAGTATAACAGTGTATAACATACTGATATTCTACACGTAAACTAGGGATGCAGTATAACAGTGTATAACAGACTGATATTCTACACGTAAACTAGGGATGCAGTATAACAGTGTATAACAGACTGATATTGTACACGTAAACTAGGGATGCAGTATAACAGTGTATAACAGACTGATATTCTACACGTAAACTAGGGATGCAGTATAACAGTGTATAACAGACTGATATTCTACACGTAAACTAGGGATGCAGTATAACAGTGTATAACAGACTGATATTCTACACGTAAACTAAGGATGCAGTATAACAGTGTATAACAGACTGATATTCTACACGTAAACTAGGGATGCAGTATAACAGTGTATAACAGACTGATATTCTACACGTAAACTAGGGATGCAGTATAACAGTGTATAACAGACTGATATTGTACGTAAACTAGGGATGCAGTATAACAGTGTATAACAGACTGATATTCTACGTAAACTAGGGATGCAGTATAACAGTGTATAACAGACTGATATTCTACACGTAAACTAGGGATGCAGTATAACAGTGTATAACAGACTGATATTCTACACGTAAACTAGGGATGCAGTATAACAGTGTATAACAGACTGATATTCTACACGTAAACTAGGGATGCAGTATAACAGTGTATAACAGACTGATATTCTACACGCGTAAACTAGGGATGCAGTATAACAGTGTATAACAGACTGATATTGTACACGTAAACTAGGGATGCAGTATAACAGTGTATAACATACTGATATTCTACACGTAAACTAGGGATGCAGTATAACAGTGTATAACAGACTGATATTGTACACGTAAACTAGGGATGCAGTATAACAGTGTATAACAGACTGATATTGTACACGTAAACTAGGGATGCAGTATAACAGTGTATAACATACTGATATTCTACACGTAAACTAGGGATGCAGTATAACAGTGTATAACAGACTGATATTCTACACGTAAACTAGGGATGCAGTATAACAGTGTATAACAGACTGATATTGTACACGTAAACTAGGGATGCAGTATAACAGTGTATAACAGACTGATATTCTACACGTAAACTAGGGATGCAGTATAACAGTGTATAACATACTGATATTCTACACGTAAACTAGGGATGCAGTATAACAGTGTATAACAGACTGATATTGTACACGTAAACTAGGGATGCAGTATAACAGTGTATAACAGACTGATATTCTACACGTAAACTAGGGATGCAGTATAACAGTGTATAACATACTGATATTCTACACGTAAACTAAGGATGCAGTATAACAGTGTATAACAGACTGATATTCTACACGTAAACTAGGGATGCAGTATAACAGTGTATAACAGACTGATATTGTACACGTAAACTAGGGATGCAGTATAACAGTGTATAACAGACTGATATTGTACACGTAAACTAGGGATGCAGTATAACAGTGTATAACAGACTGATATTCTACACGTAAACTAAGGATGCAGTATAACAGTGTATAACATACTGATATTCTACACGTAAACTAGGGATGCAGTATAACAGTGTATAACATACTGATATTCTACACGTAAACTAGGGATGCAGTATAACAGTGTATAACATACTGATATTCTACACGTAAACTAGGGATGCAGTATAACAGTTTATAACAGACTGATATTCTACACGTAAACTAGGGATGCAGTATAACAGTGTATAACAGACTGATATTGTACACGTAAACTAGGGATGCAGTATAACAGTGTATAACAGACTGATATTCTACACGTAAACTAGGGATGCAGTATAACAGTGTATAACAGACTGATATTCTACACGTAAACTAGGGATGCAGTATAACAGTGTATAACAGACTGATATTCTACACGTAAACTAGGGATGCAGTATAACAGTGTATAACAGACTGATATTCTACACGTAAACTAGGGATGCAGTATAACAGTGTATAACAGACTGATATTGTACACGTAAACTAGGGATGCAGTATAACAGTGTATAACAGACTGATATTCTACACGTAAACTAGGGATGCAGTATAACAGTGTATAACAGACTGATATTCTACACGTAAACTAGGGATGCAGTATTACATTGTATACCAGAGTGTCATGACACATGAACTCTGGGGAAATAGTACAGGGACACAGAACAATGTATATCGGAGTGTCATGAGACATGCACACTTGGGGATGTAGTACAACGTTGTATACAATAGTGATATTGTACACGAAACCTGGGGACACAGAACATTGTATACCAGAGTGTCATGACACATGTAAACTAGGGATACAGTACAGCATTGTAGACCAGAGTGATATTGTACACATTAACTAGCGACACAGTACAACATTCTATAACAGAGCCCCATTGTACCATTAGGGATATAGTACAACATTATGTAACAGGGCGCCACTGTACACGCACACTGGGGTATAGTACAACATACTGAGGTATAGTACGGGCTGCCTGTAATGTGGATCCTAGTTGGAATAGGCTACACTGAAATGTGGGACAGTGTATCGGGTCACACGGACCCTGAAACAAATATACCCAATACAGCCCATGCTAGTCTAATACATGTGGAAGTCGAGATTACCTTTGTTTCTGAAATGAGGAAGGATTTGGGTTCCGTTTTTGTTACACTTTATGGAGATAATTTAAGAACAGTCTGTTTTTGTAAAATACATGTGTATGTTCATTTCAAGGATCCATATATTAGTCTATATGCATACACGTACTTATGCACATGTGGTCACCAGAGGGCCAAGGGAAAACAAGTACCAACGTGAAGGTATAGAGCAAGAGTGAGTGAGTTTAGTTTTACGCCGCTTTTAGCAATATTCCAGCAATATCACGACAGGGGACACCAGAAATGGGCTTCACACATTGTACCTATGTGGGGAATCGAACACGGGTCTTCAGCGTGACGAGCGAACGCTTTTACCACTAGGCTACCCCACGGCCCCTATAGAGCCAGAATTTACAGATCGCTATAGTGCAGTCTTGTTTTAATATAACTGCACGAACACATTTGCAGAAAACAAATAGGATATACTTTCCGACAATGTTGGAGATTACTGATAACTCCATACTTACAGAACTCCCCGAATGTGCCGGTAGCGCCGTGACCTTCATAGGGGGGACATCGTCTGTCGCTTAGTCGTAGTCGGTGTGGTTGTCTCGAGAGTTGTGGTTGTCTCGAGCGTCGTGCCTGTCTCTTGAGTTGTGCCTGTCTCGAGAGTCGTGGTTGGTGTTGACACTGTTGTTGTTGACGCTGGCGTTGTTGTTGTGGTCACTAGATGTTAAAAACGACAAGGTGTAACATCGTTGCTATTAAAAACCTCATTTCCTGTACAGTTATCACCGTCTATAAGGAAAACGCTTCTAACACACTGACGTAATTACTGAACCGTTGTTGAGGTTTTGTTGTTCATGCCACTTGTATATGTTTGACCCGTGAAAATCTGGGTTAGAATTGGTCTTTCCTTGCACCGTGGCAAATGAAAATTGCATTCAAACGGCCATAACATATCATCAAGAACGTTTTGATCAAAATCAATCTTGCGAATCCTTGAAAATATGTCTTAACCATCTAACCGTTCAAAACCTAACATTCGCTCATTCATTCGGGTCATATTGTATTCTTACCCTTCCAAAACACCCAACAACCATTCTGGTTTTTCTGTTCGCTTACCGATAGGACATCACATTTGCTCTTTCGGAACTTAAAGTAGGCTAACCCTTACAGCCTCCCAAAATAACCGTACATGCTATTGTTTGGTTAATCCCTAACTGATTGACATACTGCGCTGCCGATCTGGGTGCCGTTGTACAATACAACTTTAATTGCCGTTGTACAATACAACTTTAATTGCCGTTGTACAATACAACTTTAATGCTAAGACTGCCGTAAGTCTATGTTAAAGTATGGAAGTAATCTGTCTCACAGTCCCAGAACCTCTAGTCTTCCTGGGGCTGCTTTTCAATTTAAATGGGTTTGTTTGTCACTATCAAAATTATACATATTCAGAGACTTGGCGTCAGTCTTGAATGGGAGTTGCGATCACTTGAGCGATACGATCGCTTTGTGAAATGGGGCCCTGGGTGCCGTTGTACAAAATAACCGTTAACGCTAAGACCGTCGTAAGTCTATGTTAGGTACGGGAGCCTGCTACATCCCCACATTGCTGGTGTATGCAATTTCTTGTATTTCTTGCTCTATATTTCCAAACAGCAAACATACCGTTGCAGAACTTGCAGAAGGCCCTGCAGTTTTTCTCCGCCCACACCTTATAGAACGGGTCGGTGCAGGTGGTTTTCTCATACTGGACGCAGTTCTGCACGACATCCACACATGGGGCAGGGGTGGTCGGTGGTGGACCTGGCATGATCACATACAAAAATAAAAAAAAGTCATTGATAGTTTAAACAGATAAGATAAACATCATAATCATCATCATCATTGTCGTCGTCGTCATTACCGTCGTCATTACCGTCGTCGTCATCATCACCATCAGCAGCAGCAGCAGGAGCACCATCGTCGTCGTCATCACCGTTGTAGCCGGGGTCGTCAAGATCATCATTGATACAATTGTAAGGTTGCATTGTCAGTTCTACGCACCTTCGTACACGGTTGAAGCTGAATACTTGTGGGTGGGTAAGGTTGCATTGTCAGTTCTACGCACCTTCGTACAATGTTGAAGCTGAATACTTGTGGGTGGGTTAGGTTGCATTGTCAGTTCTACGCACCTTCGTACAATGTTGAAGCTGAATACTTGTGGGTGGGTAAGGTTGCATTGTCAGTTCTACGCACCTTCGTACAATGTTGAAGCTGAATACTTGTGGGTGGGTAAGGTTGCATTGTCAGTTCTTCGCACCTTCGTACAATGTTGAAGCTGAATACTTGTGGGTGGGTAAGGTTGCATTGTCAGTTCTACGCACCTTCGTACAATGTTGAAGCTGAATACTTGTGGGTGGGTAAGGTTGCATTGTCAGTTCTACGCACCTTCGTACAAGGTTGAAGCTGAATACTTGTGGGTGGGTAAGGTTGCATTGTCAGTTCTACGCACCTTCGTACAAGGTTGAAGCTGAATACTTGTGGGTGGGTAAGGTTGCATTGTCAGTTCTACGCACCTTCGTACAATGTTGAAGCTGAATACTTGTGGGTGGGTAAGGTTGCATTGTCAGTTCTACGCACCTTCGTACAATGTTGAAGCTGAATACTTGTGGGTGGGTAAGGTTGCATTGTCAGTTCTACGCACCATCGTACAAGGTTGAAGCTGAATACTTGTGGGTGGGTAAGGTTGCATTGTCAGTTCTACGCACCTTCGTACAAGGTTGAAGCTGAATACTTGTGGGTGGGTAAGGTTGCATTGTCAGTTCTACGCACCTTCGTACAATGTTGAAGCTGAATACTTGTGGGTGGGTAAGGTTGCATTGTCAGTTCTACGCACCTTCGTACAATGTTGAAGCTGAATACTTGTGGGTGGGTAAGGTTGCATTGTCAGTTCTACGCACCTTCGTACAATGTTGAAGCTGAATACTTGTGGGTGGGTAAGGTTGCATTGTCAGTTCTTAGCACCTTCGCACAATGTTGAAGCTGAATACTTGTGGGTGGGTAAGGTTGCATTGTCAGTTCTTCGCACCTTCGTACAATGTTGAAGCTGAATACTTGTGGGTGGGTAAGGTTGCATTGTCAGTTCTTCGCACCTTCGTACAATGTTGAAGCTGAATACTTGTGGGTGGGTAAGGTTGCATTGTCAGTTCTACGCACCTTCGTACAAGGTTGAAGCTGAATACTTGTGGGTGGGTAAGGTTGCATTGTCAGTTCTACGCACCTTCGTACAAGGTTGAAGCTGAATACTTGTGGGTGGGTAAGGTTGCAATGTCAGTTCTTCGCACCTTCGTACAATGTTGAAGCTGAATACTTGTGGGTGGGTAAGGTTGCATTGTCAGTTCTACGCACCTTCGTACAATGTTGAAGCTGAATACTTGTGGGTGGGTAAGGTTGCATTGTCAGTTCTACGCACCTTCGTACAAGGTTGAAGATGAATACTTGTGGGTTTGGTAAGGTTGCATTGTCAGTTCTACGCACCTTCGTACAAGGTTGAAGCTGAATACTTGTGGGTGGGTAAGGTTGCATTGTCAGTTCTACGCACCTTCGTACAAGGTTGAAGCTGAATACTTGTGGGTGGGTAAGGTTGCATTGTCAGTTCTACGCACCTTCGTACAAGGTTGAAGCTGAATACTTGTGGGTGGGTAAGGTTGCATTGTCAGTTCTTCGCACCTTCGTACAATGTTGAAGCTGAATACTTGTGGGTGGGTAAGGTTGCATTGTCAGTTCTTCGCACCTTCGTACAAGGTTGAAGCTGAATACTTGTGGGTGGGTAAGGTTGCATTGTCAGTTCTACGCACCTTCGTACAATGTTGAAGCTGAATACTTGTGGGTGGGTAAGGTTGGAATAGTTGGAATTACTTTATTTGTTTCACAATAGGAAACTGCTTTTGTTTCAGAACATTAAGCATGGTATTTTTTGTATTTTAAAACTTAACTGAAACTGAATTCTTCAAGACTTTCATGATCGCTTGCTGTAGGTAGAAACTAATCATAGTGGGATGATTCAGTTACCACATGAGGATGCTCTTATATCCCCGTCAGTTGACGGCAATTATACTACTCAGATGAAGTTAAGAACTACTCGATTCTTTCAATTAATCTACCACGTCTAACTTAAGTTGTCTGAGAAAATAAATTTGTCGCCCTCATCTTTTGACTAGTACATGTTGAGTTGTGCAGGTGCGTGGTGATGTGTGTTTGAAGGTGGTGGCTGTATAGTAGGCAGTAACTCCCTTACTTGTTCCACAGAAGTTGCAGAAGGCCCTGCACCTGACGCCGGCCCAGTCCTTGTAGCCGCCGGTACACACGCGTCTGCCGTAGCTGGCGCAGTTGGAGATGAGGTCGTGGCACGCTGCAGCGGGAGGGAACATTCTGTAAACACTTCAGGCTGCCTGTTTAAAACTCGTTCATACAACCTAATTGGTCATCCTCAAATGGTAAGAAGAACGACTACTTTTTAAGTAAACAATGCTATTGAAAGGTGAAGCTGTACCTCAAAACAGTGATCCAAACAAGATCGAGCCAAACGCTAGGGGATCTTTTAATTAATATAAACACTTAATGATTATTTGTCTATGTGAGCTTATGAATGAGTTTTTGAAAGGGATTCCCACGTTTATTACAAACGATGCGTTCATATAAGCTGAATAGTACAATATCTTTTAATGATTAGTATATGTTCTTTAAGTCTCTCAATGCTATCAATAATACAGGTCAATATGTTCCACTTGTCATCGATGTATTGATGAACACTGAAACTGTGTTGAAGATGTGTAACACCATAAGGAGCAATATGTCCATAGTGTACGAATGATTTATCAAAAATTTAATATTTATATCAATTGAATATTTCTATTATACCATGACTATAGGGTTTTTGGCATATCAGACTTTGGTTTTGTAGGTTTTGATGTAAACAGCGTTTAAGGAAATTATCTCTGATGACTCACCGGCGTCAGTCGTGGTCTTCACCGTCGTTGTGGGTGTGGTCGTTCTGTAGTGTGGGTGGTGTGTTTCTGGAGATATATAAAGGCGTTAAACATGTTTTGTCAGCAGGGGATGCAACAGGTACACAACAACTCTGCCTCACATTGCTGCAAATCTATGCACATACAGGTAAGAATTGGTCTTCTTGCCGTAGGAGGCGACCAACGGTATGGGGTGGTCAGGCTCACTGACCTGGTTGGCACATGACATCGCGTAGAACGATGCTCATGATTTTAATCAGTATAGTTATATGTCTTTCTAATGCCCTTTCATCAATAAGTAGACCCGTGAAGATCCGGGTTAGAATTGATCTTCAGTAACCCATGCTTGTCGTAAGAGGAGACTAACGGGATTGGGTGGCCAGGCTCGCTGACTTGGTTGACACATGTCATCGGTTCCCAATTGCGCAGATCGATGCTCATGCTGTTGATCACTGGATTGTCTGGTCCAGATTTGATTATTTACAGACCACTGCCATATAGCTGTAATATTGCTGAGTGTGGCGTTAAACAACAAACCAACCAACCATCTTCAGCATGCAGCCATTCATCCTAACCATCCGGTTGGGTCCATCCCTTCATGCCCCCATTCAGTCCACTCTATCACCCCTCCGTTCGGTCCCTCCATCCGGCTCCGTCCATCCTCTTACACCATCATGCCATCACCTCGGCCATTCTGCCATACCTCCATTGTGCCCGCTTCCTTCTTACCATGACACAAGTTGCAGTAGCTCCTGCAGTGATTGTGGGCCCATTCGCTGTAGTTAGGGTTAGTGCAAGTGTCTTTGTTGAATTCGTCACAGTTGGGGACGGTGTCGTTGCATGGTGGGGCCGGCGTTGTGAATTTAGCTACGGTCACAGAACAAGACAAAGACATTAGAAACTTTACAACCTGTATTCAGTACAGATTTAGGTCATCGGCCATTGTTGCATTTAGTACTGCAGCTCAGTGCTATTTCACAATATCTGTATGAGGAGACCTGTTGCCTATGAAACACAACCAACTCTAGATACTAAGTGTAAATAACACTCATCGAACATAGGACCCGTGAAGATCCGGGTTAGAATTGATCTTCAGTAACCAATGCTTGTCGTAAGAGGCGACTAACGGGATCGGGTGGTCACACTCGCTGACTTGGTTGACACATGTCATCTATCCCAGTTGTGTAGGTCGATGCTCATGCTGTTGATCACTGGATTGTCTGCTCCAGACTCGATTATTTACAGACCGCCACCATATAGCTGGAATATTGCTGAGTGCGGCGTAAAACTAAACTCTCACTCACTCATCCAACATAGATCATTGGTAAATGACTGGGGCTAGACTATAGAGAATACTGACGGTCAATGGTACAGAACTCGCAGTAGGCGGCACAACGTTGAAGCGCCCAGGGTTGGTAATCGTAACAGACTTGGTAGTCGTACTTGTGGCAGTCAGTGTCGTTATGGTCCCGGCATTCCGTGACTAGAAACAAAATAGGATTTGAAAAAAGCGAAACAGGAATTACGACTCTCATTATAAGACTCTCATATTATACTCCCATTGTAATAGGTAGATGGGTAGCCTCGTGGTTAAAACGTTCGCTCGTCATGCCGAAGACCCGGGTTTGATTCAACACATAGGTACAATGTGTGAAGCCCATATCGCGATATTGCTGGAATACCATTGTAATATTTATGTTCATGAGCTTGTGAGATGTTATGTGTGGTTATGAGATGTCAGGCTTTGTTCGTAACATTATTATGCCATGCCGGGATTATACACCAATGAGGAGCTTCACGGATGTGTCTGTGAAGATAGTCAGGTGTTCTGCGACACCAACGAACTCTTTAAACACTCATATATGAAATGCCAGAAGGGACATTGTCGCGTTGTTGAAATTTACTCGACTCTTGTTCCTATTACGAGCCACTGAACATGTAAATAAACTGGTGTTCACACAAATACACGTATAATCACAATCAATCTACTTTAAAAAAAATATTCACGTTGTATTTTGGAAAATATTCCAAAACACCAGATGTGTACTTTCTTTTATACGTCAGTATATTTGACACACTGTTCCATGAATTACAGATGCCCATGAGCTCTCATCCGCTGTAAAGTGGTTCGAATCCCATTACCGACAGATTACGTTCCATGGTTTTGACAGCACCATACAGGTGTCGGGTTGTTTTGACATTTTGTTTTGGTCTTTCCTGTGATATAATCCCACTGTGATATAGCTGACATACTATTCAAAGAGGCGTTAAACCCACTCACTCACTGGCTTCATGACCAAGAAGACAGTACTCACTGTTGAAGATCTTGTCGACGTGGTGGCTAGGGCCATTGGCGGACGGGTTACTGAGGAGAAATCGTCGACTAAGTTCTGTAGAACGATATAGCTAATGTTATCCAACGCCTTTGGCTGTGTTTGAAAATATGATAAATATGAATTGTTATATCGGGTAATAAGGTCAGTATTGTATGGAAGCGATGCGAGGATGTCGGATGGAGTGTAAGGTACCAGGGGAACCTTGGAGCGGTGATAGGCTCAGATTGATGGGTTAAGGGTAGATGGGACCAGATGGATGGGTTGTGAATAGATGGGACGAGATGGATGGGTTGAAGGTAGATGGGCCCATATGGATGAGTTGAGGGGTAGATAGCTTCATATTGGCAGGTTGAGGGGTAGATACGTTCATATCGATAGGTTGAAGGTAGATGATCCCAGATGGATGGGTTGTGAGTAGATGGGACCAGATGGATTGGTTGAAGGTAGATGGGACCAGATGGATGGGTTGTGAGTATATGGGACCAGATGGATGGGTTGTGAGTAGATGGGACCATATGGATGTGTTGTGAATAGATGTGACCAGATGGATGGGTTGTGAGTAGATGGGACCAAATGGATGGCTTGTGAGTAGATGGGACCAAATGGATTGGTTGAAGGTAGATGGGACCAGATGGATGGGTTGTGAGTAGATGGGACCAGATGGATTGGTTGAAGGTAGATGGGACCAGATGGATGGGTTGTGAGTAGATGGGACCAGATGGATGTGTTGTGAATAGATGTGACCAGATGGATGGGTTGTGAGTAGATGGGTCCAAATGGATGGCTTGTGAGTAGATGGGACCAGATGGATTGGTTGAAGGTAGATGGGACCAGATGGATGGGTTGTGAGTAGATGGGACCAGATGGATGTGTTGTGAATAGATGTGACCAGATGGATGGGTTGTGAGTAGATGGGACCAAATGGATGGCTTGTGAGTAGATGGAGTAGCCGGGACCAGATGGATGGGTTGTGAGTAGATGGGACCAGATGGATGGGTTGTGAGTAGATGGGACCAGATGGATGGGTTGAAGGGTAGATGGGACCAGATGGATGGGTTGAGGGGTAGATAGGCCCGGACCACATGGATGGATTTTGAATAGATGGGACCAGATGGATGGGTTGTGAGTAGATGGGAACAGATGGATTGGTTGTGAGTAGATGGGATCAGATGGATGGGTTGTGAGTAGATGGGACCAGATGGATGGGTTGTGAGTAGATGGGACCAGATGGATGTGTTGAAGGGTAGATGGGATCAGATGGATGGATTATGAGTAGATGGGACCAGATGGTGGGTTGTGAATAGATGGGACAAGGTGCATGGGTTGAAGGGTAGATGAGACCAGATGGATGGGTTGAGGGGTAGATAGGCCCAGACCAGATGGATGGGTTGTGAATAGATGGGACCAGATGGATCGGTTGTGAGTAGATGGGACCATATAGATGGGTTGTGAGTAGATGGGACCAGATGGAAGAGATGGGACCATATAGATGGAGTAGATGGGACCAGATGGATGGGTTGATGGATGAGTAGATGGGACCAGATGGGATGTGAGTAGATGGGACCAGGATGGATGGGATGGAAGGGTAGATAGGGTTGTGAGTAGACCAGATGGATGGGTTGTGTGAGTAGATGGGACCAGATGGATGGGTTGTGAGTAGATGGGACCAGATGGATGGGTTGTAAAATAGATGGGACCAGATGGATGGGTTGTGAGTAGATGGGACCAGATGGATAAAATAGTAACCAGATGTAGATGGGACCAGATGGATGGGTTGTGAGAAGATGGGACCAAATGGATGGGTTGTGAGTAGATCTGACCAGATGGATGGGTTGTGAATAGATGGGACCAGATGGATGGGTTGTGAGTAGATGGGACCAGATGGATGGGTTGTGAGTAGATGGGACCAGATGGATGGGTTGTGAGTAGATGGGACCAGATGGATGGGTTGTGAGTAGATGGGACCAGATGGATGGGTTGTGAGTAGATGGGACCAGATGGATGGGTTGAAGGGTAGATGGGATCAGATGGATGGGTTGAGGGATATAGGCCCGGACCACATGGATGGGTTGTGAATAGATGGGACCAGATGGATGAGTTGTGAGTAGATGGGACCATGTAGATGGGTTGAAGGGTAGATGGGACCAGATGGATAGGTTGAAGGGTAGATGGGACCAGATGGATGGGTTGTGAGTAGATGGGACCACATGGATGGGTTGAAAGGTAGATTAGCCCAGATGGACGGGTGGATGATAGATGAGCCAGATGGATGGGTTGAGGAATAGATGGTCATATTTTCTACTCGTGGTCCCAACTCTGATATAAGGTATGCATAAATTGTGTAATCCTGGAATCAAATATAGTTTCTTTAGAGAGTAATAACATTGATAGTATCAGACTTATATGTCTATGTCTGACAACGGTACAAGAATCTGATTCGACACGTCGCAATCACGAAATAGAAGAAGTTGTTATCTATCAAAAAAATCAGGGAGGCCTTTTACTGAATAACCTCTCCAGTCTCTGTTAACTGTAATCACTGTTTACCATTGATAGTGACTATATATAACTTTATAGGTTTTTATTTTAGACACATATGTCATAGAAGATAAAGATTACAACAGACGAGGCGGTACGCAGACGAGGCGGTACAAAGATATTTATATTAATAATATTGTTCCAAATATACTGATATTTATTGACATATGAATATAGAGCATATATAGTTGTAAATTAGGGTTTAGATGGCTCAAAATCTGACATGTGGTTAACTGGCATTACCTCTCACAGATTGTAGTATCTGGGTCGGCCAAAAGCTGAAGCCGGATGCTGCCTGCATCAGCATCACTGTAACGTGTAGAAAGACGACGAATATACAGCGCTCTGAGGGGTAAGTATGTATGCAATGTCGCATTGTTTCTGAAGGTTTTGTTTGTTTGTTTGTTTGTTTGTTTGTTTGTTTGTTTATGTATTGTTTGACGCCGCACTATGCAATGATTTAGATCTATGATGGCGGCATGTAAACAGTTTAGCCACCACACAAACCAATGTTCGATAGAGTTTCTGTTTGCGGCACATATCCCAGCTATAAGGTGGGGTCTGTGAATAATCGGGTCTGGACCAGACAACCCAGTGATCAACAGCATGAGCATATATCGTGAGCAACGACCCACGTCGACCAGCAATCATGCAAGTCACATTGGCACACCTGTCGATATATTTGGCCGCCTCTGAATGCGAGCATAATGACGCACCAAGTCTACTCTGGGAGCTCACAGGGGCCTTTAGATAAGACAGCAGCAGGTGTCAGGGGTTCCAGCATATGTTGCACTATAAGTAGGTGTGTATTGATAGCCATAAAAACGCATTTCATTCTTCTTTTGTTTACTCACATACTATGGCAATGACTATCCAGTGTAAAAACACGATAATCAATGATATTACTGTTGAGCATTTCGAAAACACCTCGTGTCATTTGTCTATTTATATGATTTTCACATCTACTTTGCCCGTTATCTGTTTCTATGTATACTCAAGCCTGGGTATTCTTTTCCGCTGACGTTTCATCAATTTACATCTGGGCATCACGCTGTCTAACAGAAGCATTGGCAACCACAGTTGACAAACCTGTTCTATTTGTGCTACGTAGACCAAGGGAATAGGGTTTGGCTACAATACATGACTGTTACAATTACATTTTATATCAATAAAACAAGATTTACGACATAATCATGAATCAATAAACAGTTTGACTTACCCGCAATGATACACAAACACAAGGTCCCTCTCATATTTGCCCAATAATTTCCACGCCTATGACATAACAATGTGTCTACTCCGCTTTATCTTATCTCAGTCAGTTGCGACTCAGGTACTGCTGTAAATTTAGATAATAATTAGCTTGAATTCTTTTAGCATTGTTAAAGCGCGGAAGAGCATTTCAAGTTCATGAAATAATGTATCATCTGTACTATATTCTCTCTGAATCTGGTTTAGCTCTTATCAGGCAATTCATGCTGCTGAACGACCTCGTTAATGACTTCTCTGAGTTGTGAGCTGATATTTGAACCGTATTTCTAAACATACATGGACTCGAACCTGGATTTTCAGCATGACGAGCTAACGCTTTAACCACTAACATATCACGAGCTTTAACCACTAGGTCCTATCATGTCAAATATTATTCCAGCAGTTCCATCCTTTGTTGTACAATCAAGCATGTTATGAGAACAATGGTTTCAAAGACCATCACATGACTCTCGCCCAACACGTTTGATGTTATAACATTCAAGACGTCAGGAAAGTTTTAAAATTTGTGTGGATGACATGTCGAGGACATTCTCTTATCTAACACAACACTTTCAGAATCAGTTTTGATGCAATACCATATTTGACTTTTACCTTATGTTAGCCTGTCTATTTTCAGATGAACAATTGACTTGTCATTGCATGTGTTTTTGATAAGTGCAGTGCAGTCGGAGGGACAGGATACGCTCATAATGGTGTCATGACTATTTGATAGTGATCCATAAACACACGATCCTGATATTGTCGAAATCATACAAACGGCTATTCTTTGAGGATATTCTTCTATGGATATAGAAAGAGCCTTGCTGCTAGTCTACATTCATGTAATATCGGTACAATGTGTTGAGCCCATTTCTGGTGCCCCCCGCCGTGCCATTGCTGGAATATTGCTAAAAGCGGCGTAAAACCATACTCACTCACTCATATAATACCCGATAGTAAAGAGTGAGTGAGTGAGTATGGCTTTACGCCGCTTTTTTAGCAATATTCCAGCAATATCACGGCGGGGACACCAGAAATGGGCTTCACACCGATAGATCAAGAATGACTGACTGAGTTTGGTTTTACGCCGCTTTCAGCAATATTCCAGCAACATCACGGCGGGGACACCAGAAATGGGCTTCACACATTGTACCCATGTGGGGATTCGAACCCGGGTCTTCGGCGTGACAAGCCAACGCTTTAACAACTAGGCTACCCCCACCCCCACCCCCCCACCCCACCCCCACCCCGATAGTAAAGATGTCATACCTGTATGACAATAGGTATTTGGTGTTATTCTTTCAACAATGGGTACAATCACCTATCTATCCGCCCTGGTTAAAAATCAAAGAAACAATTGAGAAACCATATTCAGTGCCCTACTTCCATCAGGACGCGCGCACAGAAATTCCAAGTGATGACAACCTCTTTACCATGCTGTACGACAGAGGGGTAGTTTCAATCCACCTTTCGTGAATTAAACCTTGACATCAACCACTATGTTTTAGTTCCAATTTTGGGCTTCCGCTCCTAGTTGCTCTGTTATTAAAATTCCATGGAACGTTACTGACGAAGGTCTGATAATGCCATTCCAAATATCTTATTCAAGAGAAATTTCAAGCAATTAAAAGCATGACAACTGCTTGTCAACATGCTGCCGGTGTTTATTCATACTATGACCGTTACGGGGACTTTCCACGCCTCCTTACACACTGACCCAGGCTTGACGATCCTGTTTGGTGCTGCTATGTAGTTTATTATATACGATACTGAACTGTCTCAGAATCTTCACATACGTATGGGGGCGGTGGGGTAGCCCGGTGGTTAAAGAGTTTGCTCGTCACGCAGAAGACCAGAGTTCGATTCCCCACATGAGTACAATGTGTGATGCCCATTTCTGGTGTCTCTCGCTGTGATATTGCTGGAATATTGCTAAAGGCAGTGTAAAACCCAACTCACTCACTCACATACATACCATATTGTAGCAGTTTTGCGATATTCAACACCATCACACTTTTCGTATGCATGTTGTGTAGGTGTCGGGTGTTGTCGGTGGAGCAGGACATGCTTAAACTTTCGTGAACACCTGGTGTCATCACTGATCCAATCATGTAGCTTTATCACTATTTTGCCTTTTAAGCCCAATGGAATTTGTTTCGGCAGATAATCCAGATTGGTTATTCTCTGGCAACCAAGTATCCGTAATATCATGTAAAGAGCTGTGCCTCACAGCATATCACCGACAACGATCCACGCAACTGGGGAACGATGATGTATCAAGCAAGTCTGCACGGCTGACCACTCGATCCTGTTAGTCGCCTCTCACGACAAGGATTATTTGCTGAAGACCGAATCTAACACAGATCTCCGTGGTGACAAGCATTATTTGTTGAAGACCTATTTTAACCAAGGTCTTCACTGAGGACAACCATGGGTTGTTGAAGGTCAAGTCTAACCCGGATCTTCTCTGAGGACAAGTATAGGATGCAGAAGATCAATTCTAACCCGGATCTTCTCTGAGGACAAGTATAGGATGCAGAAGATCAATTCTAAGACGTATCTTCTCTGAGCACAAGCATGGGTTGTTGAAGATCAATTCTAACCCGGATCTTCTCTGAGGAAAAGCATAGGTTGCTGAAGACCAATTCTAACCCGGACGTTCACAGAAACAAGAAAACACAGTGGTAGTGTGAATGTATGTTTTATCTATGTATGCTACAATGTACTAATCGCCCTGGCAGTCATGATGTGCGTCACACGTGGAACACCTTGGACACGTGGAACGCCTGGGACATCTTGCAACAATGGGAAGTGACAGACACGTTGGAACAGGGCAGGGCAATACTTACATAGCACATAGCTTCACATTCCTTATCTTACCAATTCCCGTATCAAAGTAGCTTCAAATTATTCCAATATGAATAACAAAATGGCCAATATCCTAACTGTACATTTAAGAATGAAAGCATATCTACCAATTAGAGGATAACCTGCCCAGATGAGTTAATATAAGGGGTCACATCTGGCTCAAGTTATCAATGTCTGCTTAATAAATAATTGTTCAAAGTGTATCATTAAATATCTAAGGGGTTACAGTTCATTTCTCACGCAAACTGAGCTGCAAATTTGAAATATCAGACCATAACATTTATGTATGAAAATCCATACCCTTTCATCAAGAGGATCACCACATACTTATACCATAGTTCCATCCTTATGTTTAAAAGTATTCCCAGACAATTTCTAGTGTATGAAGGCTAAATGTTCTGGATTAATATTTTTCAATGGAATTGCACACTGAAATAACCTTCACAACAGATCTGCACATCTTGAATGCAGCAATGAAAGAGGAAAGTAATCAAAAATGAATTATTTCAAAAAGACTAGCGGCATAATGAACCAAATGAATATTTTATAACCCTCTCGAATTTTGATTTTTTTGGCAGTGTTTGATTCCAAAATCCTGTTTTCATAACTAGCAAAATAAAAATGCAAGATTGTTAGTATTCCACATTATTACTCACTACAAACGTGAATCGTAAACTAGCATATCAACTATGAGGCTATAATTGAAACAAAAATGACACTAAAATGATTATGCCAGTTCTTCTTATGAATATTAACATGAGAAAACCCAATTGTTTTTCTGTTTCAGCCTTTTTTAAGTCATCATAACTAGCACTGATGCTTGATTGTTATTTTTCCAGGATAATGTTCCGAAAAAAAACAGAAGAAAGGGCCGCATATCAAGGATGGAGTCATGATTGAAGAGCAGTTGCCAAAAATGATTATCTGAAAAATTATTGTGTAAGAATGTAGCCTGCCAAAGGAACATTTTATCAACATCTGTCAGTTTTATAGTAATAGTCTCTTCTCAAGTAGCATCATCACAATCCGGGCGTTTTTACGTACGTACGCACCAAACACGTGAAGCATATCGGACCTGTATACCAAGGACGAAGCTATGGCAAAGGAAAGTCACCCAAACTAAAACAATAACTCATTTAATAATTCCTTGGGAATATACTCTGCTTCACATATATTCACATCTTTTTCAAATAGACATCCATAAAATTTTGAGTGTTATTTACCACGTAAATACACCCTTATACGTGACAGAAAACACCCCAACATATCAAGGATGCAGTATTGAAAATAGTCACCCGAAGTCATTATTTAGTTTTGTGGTCCTACATATGGTAACACTCTGGTAATACAAATGTACTGAATACAAAATACATAAAAATATTATACTGAAAATGCACTTATGCAATTATGCAAGAAAAACGTGAAATTTTACATTTAAAAAATGAAATTGTTACTATTTCTTATCATTGCCAAAGATGATTATTGTCGAACACCTTATTGTTCAATGTTGTAAAACATTTCTACTTTCACTTTTTAGTTTTCTTTAACACAAAAACTGATGAAAGACCCTCTTACGATAGCTTCCTCATAAGCCCACGCCTAGGTCCAGTTCGCTTTGGGCTATAGGGTCTCAACAATGTTATCTATTTACCTATTAGCATCTATCATACGCTGTAAAACTTCAATCAAGAAACGCTTACGTGATTATAACAATTATGATATTTTGGAATATTGATAATTTTTGACAGTTATGAAATGCACTTTTGCTGTAAATGTCATGTAGAGTATTGCCAAGTCCTGCCGTATGGGAATAAATTCAGGGTTTCTCAGGGGACAGTTTTACAAGTATATCATTAGGGGGAGAGGCATATATACTTATACCAGTCGATGGATCTACCTAATACATTACTGTGGTCGTCACAGGCCAATTGTGTTTTAACAACAAAGAAATCAGATCACCACGGTTCTACTAATAATACAACAATAGTAAATGTATTACAATAAAAGCTAAATTTATAACAGATGTATAGTAACTGATGTTTTAAACTGATTCAAATGGATTTCTCTGATGACAATGGCTTTTAAATACATATTTCTATATTGTGTAATAATATCGTAAATAATTATGACAGTTTCTATAGTCATTAGGTTAAGGTGGACAAATTACTGAGTCATAAAATTAATATAAAACAGATACTGATATCAAATTTTAATAAAACAGATACTTTTACCCAAAAATATATAAGGACACTGTAACCTAAAATTATGAATTAGAACGAAATAAACTTTAAATAAATATGAGATAAAAATAAGGAAATATTAATTTCTTTGTTTCTCTGCCAAAATGTTATTATATTACAGAATAACTAACTGACCATATGGAATAATGAAGTACCTGTAATGTATGAATTCATGCTAAAATTCCCGTGTTTTGGTTAGAGAAGGAAATTAGAACATTAATTCATAGGGAGAGAACAGTTAATCCATAATTCAAGTTATAAGTTGGTTATTCCAATATATTAAAAAGTAAATAAACAGCAAACAAATATAAAATATAGTTATTAGACATTTTATTTATGTTACATTGTTATAAAATGAACTATATTTTGATTTTCATTGAGACCAAAATCATATGTCCTTGTGAAATTATATGAAAAATTCTTTTTGAAAAGTGTCAGATCAGAGTCCATTAAAAATATATATTGCCTTTGTTATCTCCTTGGTGTAATTAATATTTCATGCTTGTCTACTCATTATTGCTTTAATCCAATTAAAACCCATCATAACGGTTGTTGAGACTGTCAGTTAGCCAGTTAGCCAGTTGTAGAATCTAGACATGAGCAGTTTTAAGAGAAACAGGGTCATCCTACAAACCAATGTTTGTAAAGTAGAGGTTTATACTGTGGAACACAGTACAGAAGTTATAAACAGGAATACTGTGTCCAATAAGACACATTGTAATAATCTATTATGGTGTACACACTAATAATGTTAATAATCATCATACAGAATGTATATGATCATGAACAATGTACACACAACAAATATACTCTATAAACATGAACATTGCGTAAACACTAAAGAAATTTAACAAGAAACATATTGTAAATGCATGAACACTGCATGAAGTCCAGAAAAATAAGTGCAAAGTTATGTGAAAACATACATTATTTAAACATGTTAACATTGTGTAAAATCTGAAATTCATATTGTCATGACAAGTATACATTTCATATGTATTGATGTATACAATTATGACATTGTCAAAGAACAAGAAGAATATAACAAATACATATTTCATAAATACATTTCAAAAGACATTCCTAAATCACAAGCATCAGATTTCAAGCAAAGTGTGTATACAACACAGGTCATACAAAATATTTCACAAACGTTCACCAAAACACCAACAACAGATATGTTTTTGTTTTTTTCAATATTTTCTTATGATTCTTCAAAGCTTCAAACAAGATACATTGTCATATATCAAATTATTTGTTGTGTGAGTCTGTGTTGAATAAGTCCAACAGTTGGGTACCAGTGCAGTGACAAGACTTCTTTCACTGCAATTGGTACAACGTTTCAAGAAAAACACAAGGTGGATATCATCTGATATCCCTTCCAGAGCTGCTGAAGATGACAAGTATTTCCCAGGTTGGGTATCAATGTCCATCATCTCACAGTACCACACACTTCTACATCGTGACCTCCTGGTTCTGAGGTCATCAATGTCAATGTTCATATGGGTGTACACAAATACACCATGACATTGTTCTCACCAAAATCCCTTGTGAGATTCATTTCATCATCCAGGAATACACAGATCATAAATATACACATCATTTCATCAGAAAAAGACATATATCATCATAAATAGACAATGTAGGTACAGGACATTTTTTTTTGTTTTTCAAGTTTTCAACCAAGCAAAAAACATTTCATACATAGCATCAATGCAAGAGAGAGATGTGAAGTTCTTTTCCTCTAAATCAGAGGTACAAAACAAATACATATCATTTCGTCATGTTTCATTCTGCGTCCTACTTCAACTAGGTTGATGGACAAAAATTGTAATACCTGTCCATATGTCCATAGCCTTGTCATTGATATCAGTCAGTAAATTCATCATTGTAAGTACAATGTGTCATGTGCATGTCTATGTGTGTCTACCTTAGTGGTACGATATCGCATAGGATAATGGTCATGTGCTAGACAACCAGCTCTGGGGAAATATGTCTTATTAAGTAAGAACAATCAAGCTATTGTCAGATCAGTACCCTATCAATCTTCTCCTCCATCTATCTGCTTCTTAACTTTCCTTCAAAAGCAAGTCCTCTGAAAATGGTCAAATTCGTTAGCCTATCAATAAGTCTTTTACGAGGTCCATGGTTATGTGTACAAATCTGACCATCTTCGTTAGGATGCTTACATCTTACCTGTTTGATTCACTGCATCTGTGTCGGTCAGTGTCCAGAGACAGGTCAAGAATCATTGCTTACCTAGTGAATTATGAGGAGGTCAAAGTTGAAACTGAACTTGATTGCCTCCAGACAAAAACCGAGTAGCCAAACCAAAAGGAACTGAATTAAATAGAGAAGAAGAAAACCAAAACTGGTTGAGCACAATCCCAAAAGGATCCCTTGTTAGAATCCTTCCTATGCTTGTAGATATCATGTTGGTGCTTCATGATTTCTTGTGCAACATGGCTATTTTTGTGTAGTGGTGGTAAGTGAGAGTGCTAAAGTGCTGACTATAAGAACATGGTACTGTTATGTCATGAAAATCATGAAAAACATGAATGTGATGAAATCAAACAATGAAGAATAAAATATCCAAATTCCTTTTCGAGTTCAAAATCAAACACTTTAGAATTTTTGACATCAGAGTCTCAAATCCCCATACACATTTCACTGAACTGCATTTCATCCTGAAATATACAAGCAACAAATAAGTTGGCTTGGTGTTTTGATAGAATCCTTATTTACATAAATAAGATTTTTGTCATTTCACTTCATTTGTATTTTTTCACCAAATTTTGTGGTAAAATGTCAAGCATAATCAGAGCTGTAGCCTACCATGTTGTCATCGTAAAGGAGGTTACTCGATTACAGAATGATAAGGAATTGGTCATGGCGACATTCCGATAAAATAAGGATAGTCCCCCATGTTAGCTACAGCCTTGAGAATCGTGGTCAGGTCATAACTTCACACTATGTTTATCTCGACCTGACAAGCAGTGTTCATGCAAATACTAATGTATTTAAAACATTTCACACAAACAATGACCATAAATTGTTTAACATGAACAATGTGAAACAATCAGCATTATGACATACAAGTACATACAAAAACTCCATGGGAAGTGACACGGTTGCATTAAAATATATTCTATGGGTTCGCTCCACATTCACATGCAGGAGATAAGAAATTTAAAAACAATATTTTGACCAAGTCAGAAACTATATTCATGGGATAGGACTGTGATTAAATCTGGGCAAAAGGTAGTTTTGTTCTCAGCAAATCTCATGAAAGTATCAGAATTTGCAGATTTCATTCACATATAAATGCAGATTTTATGCAGCCAAAAAGCAAATCAGATCAGACAATGAAACATAAAATTACTTTAGTCTGGGAAAAGATTCCATTCACTAACAAGAACTTATCTCTATTATTGGTCTTTAAGAATCTCAAGTTCTGATATTCATGGTGCCAATACAGAACCAAAGTCTCATTCCCTTCAAATGTCATGAGAATTACTCAAGTTGGTGTCCTGTTCTAGGTGTCCAGATGCTTTTAGAAACTGGAGCCTACTGCCCTGGTGTTATCAATCATGCATTCTGTGTGTAGAGAACTGCATCCTTCAAGAGGATGCTAAGATTGGGTGGCCTTGGATGCCCATAACAAGCATAAGCTTTATACCTGACAGTCTTTTTAGGTCCCTCCTGGATGAAGGTGTGCTATATTTTATCAGAAACATCACCACACCTGTTCACCGTTTGCATCTTTCTGAGATGCCCATACGGCTTCAGCTTATGCCCTTGATGACAATTTTGGACATTCTTCATTTGACCATATCCTAGTAGGCATGAGAACCAGCTTCATCTTTGGACTTTCTAATCATGTAGTTACTACAGCAGGGTAATCCTAATCATAGACCTTCTACATGTGTCACATGTGTGATCCCTTCCTATATCAGCACATAGACCTTCCACCTGACTCACATGTGTGATAACTTCCTATATCAGCACATAGACCTTCCACCTGACTCACATGTGTGATAACTTCCTTTATCAATACATAGGCCATCCACCTGTGTCACATGTGTGATCCCTTCCTTTATCAACACACAGACCGTCCACCTGACTTGCATGTGTGATCCCTTGCTTTATTGGCACATAGACCTCCACCTGACTCACATGTGTGATCCCTTGCTTTATCAGCACATAGACCTTCCACCTGACTCAAATGTGTGATTCCTTGCTTTATCAGCACATAGACCTTCCACCTGACTCACATGTGTGATCCCTTCCTTTATCGGCACGTAGACCTTCCACCTAACGCACATGTGTGATCCCTTCCTTAATCAGCACATAGACCTTCCACCTGTGTCACATGTGCGATCCCTTCCTTTGTCACAGCACATAGATCTTCCACTTGTGTCACATGTGTGATCTCTTCCTGTTCAGCACAAATACCTTCCCTCTGTGTCACATGTGTGATCCCTTCCTTTGTCACAGCACATAGACCTTCCACCTGTGTTACATGTGTGATCCAATCCTATATCAGCAGAAAAACCTTTTACCTATGTCACATGTGTGATCCCTTCCTTTATCAGCAAAAAGACCTTCAACCCAGGTCACATGTGTGATAACTTCCTTTTTCGTTCACTGTGACATTCATCTTTCACCGTATCCCATGACTTTGGTTGGATTTCATAAAGACAGACATCAGCCAATAACTTTCTCCTCAGTCGCAATGGGCATTGGTTTGAAGTCATGATGTCCAGTTGGTCAATCACCTGCTTGCTCCTGTGGTTAGCTTACACATAAGATGAGACATCTAATCATGTCCTTTGTCATCTTATCAGAGCAAGAAAGATGAGGACATCAATAAATTTGTGGTTGTTTTCTTCTTCACATCCTCCTGAACACTATATCCATCAACCTGTCTATGTTTCACACAATACAACCATTTCCCTGACTCCAGACATCTTTGGAGCCATAAGAATGGTTCAAGTTTCTGCAAATCCATATTGCCATCATCTCTTGACCATGATCAATGTTGGTTTATAAACATTGGCTCATGGTGTAACATATTCAATCCATTCTTCAATCAAGTTAAAAAAAACTGTACTTCAGTTCCAAGATCCAGTTAATCATGATTCATGCCAATCCTCATGATTCATGATACTGCAATTCAAAATTTCACACCATCATAACCTTCACATCAAACTACAATTGCAGTCGGTGTTCTTGTTAACCTTCTGTAAAGTCAGTTTCTGTCAGTCCAAAACCATTCCTCTTGCAATTTCTGACCAAAATTCAGGTCAAACATGCATCATATCACACTGATATTCCTTCATAGATAATTCCAATTCCGTTCATTCCAAATCCATGATTTGTGTCTGTTCAAGAACAGGGCTCATGGTTCTTCAACACCATTCTTCATATCAGTCCCGAACCAAGAACTATGCCACCTCTGAAGCATATGTCATGGTACTTCTTGTTCATATTTCATTCAAGGTGGAATCAATATGTGTTTCATGTTTGAAACCGTTTCTAAGCCAATTTCACATCAGTTGAAGACCATCATGTCACTTTAACACTGACCCATGAAAATTTCACATTTCATGGTACCAATGTCCATTCGTATGATCATTTCCAAACCATATTCTTCTTCAGTTCATGATGCTACCTGTACCAATTCACATTTTTCATCACACCATAATAACCTGTCATTTTCAAAATGTGAATGCCAGTTTGAAATCATGTTCACATTACTTCTAAACCATGTTGTGTCGTTCTCCTCAGCTATTCATTACAATGTCATTCATAAATGACAGCTCCAGCCCATTTAGCATCCATTCTTGAGGCCCATGGCCTTCCTTGCTCAAATGCTCATCACCAAGGTTTCACACCTTGCCACAAAAAAACGCTTTTAAATGTTATCCAATGGAAGAGAACCTTTAGCTAAAACTTCCTTGGATAATGAAATAATCTCTGCTTAGAAACATCTGATTAATTCCAGTGAAGTGTTTCACCTTTCTCTGTTTCTGACTTTCGTGTAGGATTTTAAACAACAAAATTGCACCATGGCAGGGCTAACAATAACATGTGAAACATACTAACAATATTTAAGTGTCACAAGGGTGAATTGCGCCATCTAGGTTTTGCAGTGAACACTTCATATTTCTTTCCTTTTAAACAATACTTACTGACACGAGGGAGTCAGGGAGGAACTGTCTCAAATTTGATATTACAAATGGTTGACATCTAAAAGCTAGAATGGGTTAGGATATTAAAGGTGTTGAACAAGTGGGTTTAGTTTTTGATGAGAACCATAAAATTAAGAAAAATGTCCTACTGACTGACTTAAATTAACAGAAACCATTTTATATTGGAATAAACCTCTGCCTTCTTTTGTGATGGTGAAATTAGAATCCACATCTCCTCATAACAATCTCATTTTATCTCTAATGATGTAGTATCCATTGAGACAATGACAGACAACCCCTCCGTCAATCAAAAGTTGCCAGCTTTGCGGAGGTTGAGCTCAACGATGATGTCTACGACGTTGGAGAGGATGTCCTTCATCATCTGGACATCAATGGCACAGGAGACGTGGATGTAGACTTGTTTATGTCCGGGGCTTGTGCTGCAGGAACTGCTCCCTGATGTACTTGAGGCAGGTATCTGGCTGGTTATCACCTGCAGATAACAACACTTATATCATGGCATCCTATACATAACTGATATCACCTGCAGATAATAATAGTTACATCATTGCATCCTGTGACCGATATCACCTGCAGATAACAATACTTCTATCATGGCATCCTATACATAACTGATATCACCTGTAGTTACAATACTTACATATCATGGCATCCTATACATAACTGATATCACCTGCAGATAACAATAGTTATATCATGGCATCCTGTGACTGATATCACCTGTAGATAACAACTTCTATCATTGCATCCTTTTTCAAAACTGATATCACCTGCAGATAACAGTAGTTATACCATTGCATCCTATCACTGATATCACCTGCAGATAACAGTAGTTATATCATTGCATCCTATCACTGATATCACCTGCAGATAACAGTAGTTATATCATTGCATCCTATCACTGATATCACCTGCAGATAACAGTAGTTATATCATTGCATCCTATGACTGATATCACCTGCAGATAACAGTAGTTATATCATTGCATCCTATGACTGATATCACCTGCAGATAACAGTAGTTATATCATTGCATCCTATCACTGATATCACCTGCAGATAACAATATTAACAT